AGTGGTTTGCCGTACTTCCCAAGGAGCCAGACTTGATCCTGCACTGGCTGCTGTTCTGTCCTCTGGAGGCCACCTCTGGTCTTCCACAGTCAGTAGGGTCCCCTCTCACCACTTCCAGGGGGCCACCCAGGATGAAAAGAGTGGAGGTCTCCAAGATCAGGCAGAATTCTGCTTTGCCTCACTTCTCATTCTGAGTTAGTCAGTTTTTGCTTTGCAATGTAGCACATTCTTGCTTAGACTCTTTGAATGAACAGACATGTATGATCACCTATCTGCCCCCTCATTGAAGATGTGGGTTAAGGTGATGCACTCAAGGCCATACAGCATTCACTCATTTATTAAACAAATATTTACTGTGACTGGGTGGTCTGCAGGGTTTGCATTAATATCAGTGGCAGAGCAGGACTGGAATCTAGTCTTCCTATTTCTGATCCAGCATTCCTTCTCCCAAGTCCTGTGGCCTCTCATAACTACTCTCTTCCCCACAATGATCTGTCTCTTTGCAGCTATGGGATATTAATTCTCAAATGTGGATGTTACCTCTGAGTCTGTATAATGGGAAACGTGATACGTGTAAAAGATAGAAGGTCCCAAAACATGTACACAAAGGCATCATGTTTTCCCCAAATCTACCAGAATGTCATAGGAATCAAACTCAGATTCGACCTGAACATTCATTTAGTAAGTAGAAAAAAGCAGTAGATAGCCTACCTGGATTGGATACATCTCCAATGGATAGAGTATTCTTTCAGGTACTAGGGATCGGGAGATAGTAGGGTGTAGAGTGGAAAGGATGTGGAGTGAGGCAGCCTTGGGCTTGCTTGGAGGTGCCACCATTTTCCAGCTCTGTGACATGGAATAGTGTATTTCTCTAAGCTTCAATTTGATTCCCTGAGTCTTACTCTCTTATTTTATTTTTCTTCCTTTCTCTAGGATGGAAAATAAATCCCATGCCAGTGCCCATCATGGGTGGCTCTTTTTAGAAAAGCATTCCAAGCCTTGCCTATACTCAGCATAAAAGAATATTCTGGCCCAGGAGGGCATCAAAGGGTGAAAGAGTGGCCTGAGGTTCTGGGAGCCTTTTTTCTTTTGCTGCTTCATCTATAGTATGTAAGACAACAGACATCAATTGTATCAGACAATTTATGGGATATAGTAGGAGGTAAAAACCGGAGTACATCAGAGACCCTGTCCACAATCTATATTGTGGAATAGTTGAGATATCTCAAATAACCATAAGAAAAGGCACAGTGTGCTCTTAACTATAAGTATTGATAAGAATAGAAATCCCTCCCCAAATTAAGATGGTACTATTATTGTTGTTGTTTAGTTGCTCAGTCTCGTCCGACTCTTTGTACCTATGGACTGTAGCCCACCAGGCTCCTCTGTCTGGGATTTTTCTGGAATACTGGAGTGGATTGCCATTTCCTTCTCCAGGGGATTTTCCCGACCCAGGGATCGAACCTGCATCTCCTGCATTGGTGTACATGCATGTTAAGTCATGCAGGCAGATTCTTTACCACTGGGCCACCAAATGATACTGTACTGTCTTCTTTTGCCCTGAGTTTCATACTTGGTTCAGTTCAACAAAATCTCTGTACTGGCCAGGTGCCAGGCCCCCGGCGAGGGGCTGGGCAGTCCGGTGGGGATCAAACACAGGCCTTGCCCTCAATTGCTGCTTCCAGCAAGAGTCCTCAGATCTTTGTAAAGCTGTCTGCTGGAGGCCAGGGACTTGGTCTTTCTTGGATCTGTGTTGGTGTGTCCCTTCAAACCGTCCCACAGCCAGGAGGAGAGAGCGCAAACATTTTTCCTGGAAAGGCGTTAACATTGAGGCATGGCAGCTGGAATTGGCACGGTGCCTTCGGAAGGTTGGAGAAGTGATTTGTTTTTCCAGTCTCACCGCGGGAGCCGAAGCCCTGGCAGAGGCCTCCATGCCTTAGCGGTGACTGAGCCAGATGAGATCATTATTAATTATTAGTCACTTTTGAGTGTCTTTCTTAGAAACTACAGAGCATTCGGGAAGCTCAGCCTCTCCTGAATTGCAATCAGTACTGTGTACACCTTGCATAGAGACCGGAGTGGCATGTCATTATCAAACAGTATCGATTCCTAAAAAGGGGGTTGGAAATGTACACGTCCCTCACAGAAAAATCTGCTAAATCGTCAAAAGCCTTGATTATATTTTTTTCCTCAAGAAAGAGACTGATGGTAGGAGTAAAAAAAGCTTGAAATGTTAGCTAAATTAGGGCTGTTTCCTGCCAGGAGCCAGATCTGTACACATAATTATTTTATTCTCTGTGCTGGCATTGATTCACTTTGGTTAAGTGTTGGAAATATCTCTGTTTTGGGTCTTTAATCCGAATTATTCAGTCAGTTCATATGACGATGTTTTCTACTCCCATCCTCCTGTATTATTTTTCTGTAAAACAAATAATCACTTGTCTGGAACTTGACTCATTTCTGTTCCCCAGCACATGCCTCATCCCTTCCCTAAACTTCTGTATCACACCATCTGCCATGCTCCTGGGCCAGAAATTCACTCACCACTCAGCCTCACACGCCCCACAGTCACCAAATTCTGCCCATTTTATTTTTGCCTAATTCTAATTTCTTCTTCTAAGTTGACGTCCACTACAGTCCTTGCACTGACTGGAAATCCAGACAGGTTTTTAGTTTTTCTTCCTTTTGCCTATGTCTCGACTGCGATAACAAACATGGACTCTCTGGCTGCCTTTGCTTAGCTCGTGGGTGCCCTGGACCCATCGAATGGCCACACATTGCATTCTCAGCTTCTGGTCCTGCCCATTTCAAGGCAGGTAGGAGCCCTTTTGAAAATGCAGATCTGGTCAATACATTTGATGGCATGTACCTGTAGTCTTCCAGAAGCTCCCCATCACCTACTGTCTAAGATGGACAAGCAACTCTTGTTCTGGAAGTGATAGACATTGAGTCTCAAATGATCCTTGAAGGTTATTGGAAGAGAGCAGGTCTAGAGGATTGCAGGTGCCAAGAAGAGGCTTCTTTGGGAAGCTTTCAACATCTGTCATTGGTTTAGCTGGGGCTGGAACAAAGTTTTTGTAGTAGAGAGCTATTTTCCAGGTATTTTAGAGCCAGCTCATCAATACAATACAGTCACAGTCCATCTTATCTTGGATACTCATGTTTCTTCAGCCAAGTGCTATTGAGACTGTTACAAGGGAAGAGCCTCTCTGGTCAGCCCCTCCAAACCCCATATTTGAGGAAGAAGAAATCCTAATGTCAGTACTGGGCTCCTACCCAAAGAGACTTCAGTATTTCTCCAAAGGCGTGTAGTCAGGGAAAATACTTTGTAATGTATATGTGTCCCACACATTGTGGGGTGTTTAGCATCCCTGGCTAAATGCCAGTCATGACCCCGCAGACACTGGAACAACCAGAAAATCTTCTACATGCCCCTGCACATGCCACATGCTCCAGGGATTGGGGAATGGTACCATCCCTGGCTGAGAAACCTTGGCTGCTGTCACTACTCCTAAGATGTTCTCTTTTACTGAGAGTATAATGAAGAGCTGGATTAATTATGATCTGTCACTCCTGTTGCCTCTTCATCTTCTGTACTGATGGAGTTCAGACTGGAGTCATGTTGTCAGGCTTTCAAATCAAGCTTTACCATTTACTCAATATGACCTTGCATATGAGTATGACCTTGAACAACTACTTAATCTCTCCATGCCTTTGTTTTCTCATTTAATGGGGGATAATAGTACTATAGTATCTCAGAAAATTTTTGTGAAAATTAAATAAGATAAAGTATGAAAGGTGCTTGCCACGGTGTCACTTTCAGAGGTATGATTATATGAGATGATGGTTCCTGAGCTCACAGTCTTACTTGAGTGACAAGTTGAAATTGACACTTACTTGTGAACACTCCAGAAAAGAAAGACAACATGGTATATTAGAAAGGGGAATGGACTAGTTGGGAGTCTGGATTCTGTTGCACCCTCAGCCATCATTACTGTGTAGCCTTGAACATGTCATTTCACTTCTCTGGTTTTTACTGTCTTCATCTGTATATGCCCTGGTGGTTTAGTCACTAAGTCAGTCATGCCCAACTTTTACAATCCCATGGACTGTAACCTGCCAAGCTCCTCTGTCCATGGAATTTTCCAGGCAAGAATGCTGGAGTAGGTTGCCATCCCCTTCTCCAGGGAATCTTCCCAACCCAAGAACTGAACGTAGGTCTCCTGCATTACAGGCAGTTTCTTTGTCAGCGAAGCCCTATTTATGCCCTGCTGCTGCTGCGTCGCTTCAGTCGTGTCCGACTCTGTGCGACCCCATAGACAGCAGCCCACCAGGCTCCGCCGTCCCTGGGATTCTCCAGGCAAGAGTACTGGAGTGGGGTGCCATTGCCTTCTCCATTTATGCCCTACAAGGTGTGAAAAACATTGAATAGCATTTGCATTGTGAATGTGCTTTAAAGTCTATAGAATCTCACAGCTTGATGACATATAATGACTAATTTATTATACATCAGTGGTGGTGGTGGTGTTTAGCTGCTAAGTCATATCTGACTCTTAGTGACCCCGTGGACAGCAGCCCACCTGCCTCCTCTGTCCATTGGACTTCCCAGCCAAGAATACCGGAGTGGCTTGCCATTTCCTTCTCCAGAGGTTCTTCCCCACCCAGGGATCGAACCCACGTCTCCTGCATTGACAGGCAGATTCTTTACCACTGAGCCACCAGGAAACTATCCATCTGTGTTACCCATCCCTGATTTGAAAACCCCCATCAGCCAGCTGGGGGGAAGCTCTGAACGGGAACTTCTTGGGAGACGGATAAACCTGGGGAGCTCACCTGTGTGATAAATACTGAATTGCTGTCGCCCCATCCTGACCCGTGTGTCCCCAAATAGCACAGGTGAGAGGCCCTCAGGCATGCAGGCATCTCGTGAACAGTCACGTCCACAGCTCTGCAGCTCTCCCTGCTGATTTCCTTCATGGTCGTCTGCTTTTCCCCCACAGCAACAAAGGCGAGAGAAGGAGCTGCGGAAACAGCAAGAGAGGGAGCAGCGCAGGCACTATGAGGAGCAGATGCGCCGGGAAGAGGAGAGGAGGCGCGCAGAGCACGAGCAGGTACCGCGGGGACCTGGGAGCCCTGCCGACGGCCCCGCGTGAACACCAGCGCCAGCCGCTTCTGGGCTGTGGGTCACCTTCGCTTAGGTCTTCTTGGATTAAGCCGGTTTTTACTCTTGCTCCAGCAACTATTCTCACCTATTCAAGAAGTCAAATGCACAACCTGGGCAAAGCCTGCTCATTCAACCTGGCTTCCTCCCCAAGCCGAAGTCCCCTGACACCTTGATTTCATGCTTCTCCCAGGCCAGGGAACCTGCTTTGAGAGCGGCACTGAGGCATGATAAATGAGCCAAGTCCTCCTCTTTCATCGCTTCAGAAGCGCTTTCCTACTCACACTGCTCTGGTCTCCATGACTCTGAGCCATCGATGCAGGCCCTTTCTCTCTTTGTTAGAATCATGTTGGGACAGCGCAGTGAAACTGCAGGATGGTTTCTTTACAAAGACAGTTCATGACGGCATTCAGCCATTATTTTATCCCCACTGCTTACAACGAAGAGCCTCTGAACTGTACAGCCTTGTTAATTCCAGGTAGCCCGTAAAGAGGGAGCCTATGATGAAAAGTTTTAAAATAAGCTGGGTTCTCGGGACTTCCCAGTGGTTAAGACCCCATGCTGCTGCTGCAGGGGGCACAGGTTCGAGCCCTGGTCTGGGAACTAAGATGCCACATGGCCAAAAAATAAAAAATATATGGATAATACTTTAACCACACACCAGCAAAAGCTGGGTTCTCAAAACCAGATCGTCACAGCAAAGCATTGAGCTGTCTCCATCCGCTGCTGTTGTGCCTTTGACTGCACTGACGTGCTTTTGCTGTGGTGCAGGGTATCTTTCCTGTTTAGTGAAGAGGTGTTGGGGTATTTTTTTTCCCTCCTTTCTTCCACACTTCACTTGGCAGTGTCTTCTCACCTTTGAAATTACTGGTTCTGTCTCTCTCCCTCTCCCTCTCGTTGTGTTCCGCTGCGTTCTCTGCTGCCTGCCTCTCCAGGAGTACATCAGGCGACAGCTGGAGGAGGAGCAGAGGCAGTTAGAGATCTTACAACAGCAGCTGCTGCATGAGCAAGCTCTACTTCTGGTAATGGGAACGCCAAGCTCGTCTGCTCCGTGTCCATCTCGTGTGCGTGTGTGTGTGGTCTATAACGTGCCAGTCAGGAAACGGGGACCCACCCAGCCTCCTGGACCTGGAAAATCTTCTAAAACGTAATGAGTTTCCTGACCCAGGGTGCCGAGTCACAACTTTGAATATACTTGTTGCACATTCTTTATTAATGCCAGCCATTTGCAAAACTTCAACGTGAATCCAGTCTGAGTCCAAGTTCGGGCTGTTTCTGAGACCCACTGTGTTTATTGCAGAGTAATGTTCGCAGTCATTTGCAACGTGCTGGAAGACAATCACAGCAGAGTATCCCTCATCAGTAGGAAACCACTCAGCTCTGGAGTCATATTTCATTTGCAGACTATTAGTTTTACCCTCACGATGGGAACATTTTGTGTGCCCTGCTCAGGCAGCTTCCACTTGAAGTGTTTTTTGGGGGGTTTTTTTGGTTTTTTTTTTTTTTAGCCTTATTGCATTGCTCTCCAAATGAGCTGCTTGGTGTATCTTTTTTTTTTAAATGTAACTTTTTATTCAGTGGCACTGTGATTTTTTTTTTTTTTTTAGCCTGTACATGTTTTTGCTAATGGTTTCTGTTGGTCCAAGTTTTGTCAAAATGAAAGATGATTTAGGCAGTATCTTTAGGTTCTTATTTTGTTTTGTAAATTGTACATGTTTGAATAGTTTAATGACTAAACCAGGAAGTGGATAGTTCCTTACAGGGGTTGTGCACTGACCATCAAAATGTCCTCGTTGTTGCCATTTTCTTGGTTACAATTCATCGAGGACAAGTCACTTTGTGAAGGGTGCTGTTCTGTAGGGGTTGCCATTAAAACAGTAGTGTTTTCATTAAATGCCACATTATGTGCAGATGCTAACCAGAGGCTGTACCGTATCTCCATGGCACATCCCTGTGTCCTCTTGTGGTTTTGTTGGTATTAAGGTCCTTTGTTATTTATCATCTCTTTTGCTTGCATTGCATGCTTCCCTGGTACTGACCAATGGTTTCCCTATGGTAATGTAGCCTTTTCTTTATTCTCCTTTCCTGATCTGGACAGGAATATAAGCGCAAGCAGTTGGAAGAACAGAGACAAGCAGAAAGGCTACAGAGACAACTAAAGCAAGAGAGAGACTACTTGGTCTCCCTTCAGCATCAGCGGCAGGAGCAGAGGCCTGTGGAGAAGAAGCCACTGTATCATTACAAAGAAGGGATGAGTCCTAGTGAGAAACCAGCATGGGCCAAGGAGGTAAGTAAGCGAACAAGTGCAGCCTGTACCTACACTGCCTTGAGCATATGGGCCATAACGAGTTTCTCCTGTAGAAACAGAAAGTTAAACTACAAAGCTGGAAAATAACTTTTGTGAGACACACATGCTTTGTTTTGGGAAGAATTATAACCTTATTTCTACACCTCAATCCATTTGTGGTTCTTTTTTGTTAAGTAACAGCAGGAAGCAGAAAATCTTTTTCTGTATTGGAATTCAATTGAGTTTGTGGCTGGAGAATTTTTAGTGGAAGAATGTGATTTAAGACTTAAGGAGTTTTAGGTAGGATCATTTCCTATCCATACCTAGACCCTGAAACTGATCCTTAGTATTGTCACTAATATCCTATTTTCTTCTGTGGTACCAGTGAAGACACAGTTGGTCCCAGACCTGTGGTTGTGGTTCACTTACAGGGTTGGAGTTCATTTATATTTTTTACAAATACTTTCATGGGAATGATCCTTCATTTGCTCAACTACTAGACTAAAGAAGGGTTAGGGTTAGCACCTACTGATTTCCTTTATTTTCCTGTAAGCATAACTAGTCATTCAAAAGAGTGATTTATATTACTTTACATATTGTCCTAGTATCTTCAGATATTTATAGCTAGAGCTTCTTTCAAGTTATCTAGACTACAGTATTACTAGAACTGGATTTCTTAACATAAGACCCTATTTTTATAAGTTTTTTTATTTTCTGTTCTATCTTACACATGTATAGAAAACACTTGAAATTATGTTGTCCTAATATAAAAAATGGTTGTGTATGAGGAGTAGAAACTACACAGTCTTTTCTTTGCTTTTTGTTTAAATCCTTTATGATTGTGTACTATTTTTTATAAAACTGGTAACTTTTTTCTTTTAAAACTTAAAAACTAAATCTGTAGAGAAAATCATTCAGTTCAATATAAAGAACATTTTTGATCACTTTCCCTCAAAGTCTGTAAACGTGATTTGTATTTACCTATGTCTGTAAGAATTGCCTCTTTCCCCCAGGTCAGTAATTCAGTTTTGTGATCCTACCCGCAGGTATAGCATCAACCCCTTAACAACTCATCTGTTCTTCCAGTTAAGCAGAATCACTGCTGTTAAACGGCAGCTGACATGCTTCCTGGCTAGCAAAGATGTGCCACTTTCCTCCACTGCTAAACCATGCCAAGCTGAAACCCTCAGCTAAGGCAGATTCACAGCTCCTGATCATGGCAGATGTTCAGAAGCCTGAAAAACTAGCCTCTGCTAAGTTAATACCAGTAGCACCTACAGCAGTTAATGATTCCAGATCAGGACTCCTGTTTGAGCATCACTCACGGAAGAAAGATGAAACAGCTTATCCTATTAGACTTGGTCTTGAAGATCAGCTGAAGCCTCAGGGAGCTTTAAGGACCACAGTGAGCTCAACAAAGTGATCTCTCCCCCAAGGATGTAGCCCACCTCGAGAGTCAGGAACCCAAGTCATGTGTGTGTTCTTTCCCAACATCTCCAAAGTGATGAGCCCCCAGTTGTCTATTACTGCAAGTAAGAAGGGCCTAGAGACCCATGTGGACCTCGGGGCATGAACTCATGCATCCATACAGGTAGCTCATCTCCTCCAAGAAGTGCTGCATTGCTAAATGACCTCTCTTGGATGCATGACCACCTGTCCAGAGCTCCCAACCCCAAGCATAAGTTTAGGAAAGGGACACCTACAGATCCCTCCTGACACCACCTGGAGAGGACTGAGATGCCTTGTAAAGCATACCAGAATCTCCTTTCCCCTGGGCAGCTCCCTCATACACAAATGTACCAGGAAAGGGGGAGAAACGTGAAGCAGTTTCCACTTCCTTCCTTTCACCGCTACTCAGCATATTCTTGTTTTCACTTAAACATTTTGACGTCATTGTTTTCTAGTTGCCATCTGTCCTCATCATTAAATTGGCTGGCCTGTCCTCTCTATTCAGAACTAATTCAAGGGCACCAATCTTTCAGGGGCCATGGCATTCCTGGGGTGCATCTCTGCAGATATCATCAGGGATTTTTCTAGACCTCCTAATTTCCCTGTGCTTCTCGGGCAGGATCCTAGTGTAAAGAAAAGTTAGATAATGGGCGTGCAAACAGCATGGCTGTGTCATCAGGTACTCTCAGTGTGAGGTTCCCAGGCCATCCTAAGTCTGGGCCACCTCTGGTGGGTGACATCTTCCAAGGTCTCTGGCTTCCTGGTAGCCGGTATTCTTTTGGGCTTCATGCACTTTTGGACATGTGTGTGTGCTCACTCACATGCTCATGTCCTGTGTGCTCACTCGTGTCCAACTCTTTGCAGTCCCATGGACTCTAGCCCACCAGGCTCCTCTGTCCGTGGGATTTCCCAGGCAAGAGTACTGGAGTGGGTTGCCATTTCCTACTCCAGAGGATCTTCCCAACCCAGGGATCGAACCAGCATCTTTTCTGTCTCCTGCATTGACAGGCAGATCCTTTACCATTAGGGTCACCTTCTTTTCGGATTTTATATTTAATCCTGTCTTCCTGGGTGTGGTTAACATAATTCAGCTTCCAACTAACCACCTATCTCTTCAGGAAACAGTTCCCAAGTCTGAGTGGGTGTTCCTATTTTAGAAGAAAGATGAAACATTTAAATGATAGAATGAATGACAGTGCTAAATTGGGGATTGTAGCAACTGGTATACAAGGGAAAGCAAATGATTGTCTGCCTGAGTTTGATTCATCATTTTTTCAACACGCACTTCCTAAAATGGGAATAAAAATGACTGTAAGGATCCTTGTTGTCTTGATCTTTCAGTGCTTCTATCAGCAATGTATGAACTTTTCTTCTAGAGCTTTATTTACAGATTTCTTTTCCTTCTTATAGTAGGGAGGTAGGTGAAGTTGAAAGTAGCCTAACAGTAAAATACATTTCAAGACTTTATATATGGACAGAATTTCTAGCTCAGCAGTGTTTTAATTATCAACCAATAAAAAGAACCCAGGTTAAACTCTCTTTTGGAGGTATAAAATGAGGTACCATTTTCTTTTCCAAATGCCAGGATATAAATTTGAAAATATCCTCACCAGGGATGAGGCAGCAGCAATGTCATGGTCTCCTGTGATAGAGGCTCTGAGCTTTTTTGTACCATATGCCTTTGAAGACACCAACCAGCCGTCTTCCACTTACAGCTGCCTCTTTTGTAATCTCCTCCTGCATTTGTTTTTAACTCACCTCTATACCTTCTGGGCTTCCCTGGTAGCTCAGTAGGTAAAGAATCTGCCTGCAATGCAGGAGACCCAGGTTCGATCCCTGGGTCTGGAAGATCCCCTGGAGAAGAAAATAGCAACCCACTCCAGTATTCTTGCCTGGAGAATCCCATGGACAGAGGAACCTGGCAGGCTACAGTCCATGGGGTCGCAAGAGTCGGACAGGACTTAGCAGCTAAAACACCACCACACCTTCTCATCATCTTGAGTTTTCCTTCTTTGATTACTTTTCCATCCACTTATTTCTCTTCCTTATAGCAAATCGACATTTTCTTCATTAGCAGTGTAATGTTGTTACAATGGTTCATCCTTCATGTTTTTGTTCTTCATTTTGTAAAACATAAGTCATCATCATGTTTCTCATTTCCTTTCTTATTAATTTGTCAGATGTAGTGAGAACAAGTGGAAACACTAGATTGTTGGCAAATCTTGTTGAACTCTTCTCTCTATCCTTTTCCTGAGTATTCTCATTGTCCTAAATGTCACATTAGCTTTGATTTTCAGATTTCAGCCAGAAAGGAACACTAATGTCTCCATTAAAAGGAGAAGTAGGGGACATTCTCGCTCCTTTCAAATTCTCTGCCATTTTAGTCAGATTTGTTCTGTAAAAACATCAATATGATATACTATTAAACATCAGCAAAATTTAAAGATCCCCCCCCACACACACACACACACTGGCTTTTTCTGAAAGATGGATACTCCTTTTCTTTTAATGCCCTTTTCTTTGTACAGGTTTCTGTACAAAGAAATGTACCTATAATGGTACCGATTCCTGTTTCTTATAATGGCTGTGATTATCGGGGCCTGACAATATATTTTTTTAATTTTCACCAACACACAGCAGCAACAGAATGTTCTATCTATGAGTATTGCATGAGATGGCATTTTCATTTTTTTTAACACTTCATCATGTTCTTTCTGTGTGATACATGCCCGTCATCTGGTCATGGTTTTATTTAGCAAATGATGGGCCAGGATGTCTCTTTATATTCCATCAGCTCACTGGGCTTTGAAATCCCCACAGATAAGAACTCCTTCTCCACCTGTTTTCTCTGCTCTACACTGATACTTTTTTTTCTTTTTATTTGAGTTATTTTATATGAGCTCTCATATAACTATTTAGAGAGTTTACATCTCTGTTCCCATCTTTCCTTAGTTTCTGTTTATCTCTCTTAAGATTTAGCATGAAACAGACCTGGCAGGCAATAGGAAAGAGCTCGTTTGAGTTCTTATTCTTCCACTTCCAGGCTGTGTGACCTAGAAGTGTCCTAGTCTTCCTGGGGTATAGCCTACCCATCTGTGCTTTCTCCCTCAAAGTTGGGAGGATCCTGGGCAATCATGTATGTGAATGTGCCATTGAAACTGTAGGCACTCTGCAACTGCAAATGAAGTAGGCAGCATATTTCTGTTTTGCTCCAAAGGCTGTTGTTGCCCACAAGGAATACGTGTTTTGCCTCTGTTGTTTCTGGTTGGGATTTCACATGAGCAGTTCACATGCATCTCCCATCTCCTCCACTTATCTCTCTACAGGGATGGATACACACTTTTTAATTTCCCATCTCAGCCTGCTAAAGATTGGCCTCCTTGCTTTTAAGTTGTCCATTCACATGAGGATCTATACTTTTCTTGTGCAATCATTGGTTAGATCTTAGTAAAGTACTCCAGAGCCTTATCTTTGACAAGACTACATTTTAAGCATTCCCTAGGAATGAGGGCAGGAGGAGAAGGACATGACAGGATGAAATAGTTGGATGGCATCACCGACTCAGTGGACATGAATTTGAGCAAACTCAGTAAGGAATGAGTGTTTCCTCTGTCCTCCAGGGTGCCCCAGAGAAGGGGTAGCCCCAGTCTTGCTCAGTAACCATCTGCCCATGTGGTTTTGCCAGAAGACAGCATGACTCACCTCTTCACGTGCCCAGAGAGTGCAGGATCAGAATACCTAATGAGGACTTAAAAGTCATTGAATTTCTTTCTCTTAACTTCTTTCTCTTCCTCCAGCACTGGCAGTAAAGACAAAAATCAAATGTTTTGTCCAGTTGGCGGGGGGGAGATTTCCCATACAGTTGTGTTCAATTCACCATACACTAGCTCTTAAGTAGGCCTTCCAAGACCTACATAGACTCCCACAGACCCTACAGTCATCTATTTAATAAAGTGTTATTAAAATGCACCCATATGACAGTAAATATATTTTGTTGTCAACCTTTTAAAAACCACTTCTATGATTTTGTTTTGAAATCTCTCAGCAGATAACATTTCTTATTGCTCCGTGAAACATTAGAAGCTATAAATTGTTTTCAAATGTACAAAACAATTCAACAATTGACATTGATGTAATGCTTATACTTGTATACATGTTTCAACATAGTTACTTGTTTTGAAAATTTTTTTAAATTTTGTAATCAACACATTTATTTTCAGGTCTACTGTATTTGTGCTACGTTTATATATCTCAGAGGTTTTAGATGTCATTCCTGTGTTACCCAGTGGATAACACAGTCCTGCCTAGAGTGGAATCTTATTTCTAAGACGACAGTTATTTTTTATTTTTCCCTGTAATGCTGTAATAAATAGTGTAGCATTTCTGCAGAAGTGATTCAAACCTGTTCAAAGTTATTTTAGTTTTGATGGTAAAATGATTCTTTTAATAAGAAAAAAGCCTGATTCTATGGTAAAATTGATCTTTCTCTCCTAATATAGTGCTCTATATTTATTGATAATCCCATCAAGTATGAACTCCTTTGTAACAGATGTCTTCTGTTGTTACGGAATGGCGTCTTGACATTCTTTATACCGTGCTACTAGAACACTTTTTTGGTGGTACTTAAGATGTTTTACATCTTCTTGGTAACAGGAGGTTGAAGCGAAGACTCATGTTTTTTTTTAAATCATATCATAAAAGGAAGCTTGAAATATATCTCCATTGAAACCCAGTTTTTAATCACATATATTCTTAATCTGGGGGGAAACACCTTTTTTGTCTCACTGAGTGTTCAGTTAGTAAGCATAAGATGTGATGAATCAGGAGACAGACCTTTGTCCATCTGAAACTGTTACTAGGATATTTGATTTGGTATCTTTACCCCAGTATTCATGCTGTTCCTTTGGTGCAAAAGCAACAGACAGCATTATTTTCCTGAAGACTTTAGGACAAGATTTTCTTGAGACAGAGTAGCCTGATGCCTCATTGTTACACTTATATAGATTTTCAGATTCTGGGGACAAACTCCAACCCAGGAAATCTCATCACATTGGATTCATCCTGAAATAATCTGCAGAGTGTAACAATAGATTATTCATACCGTATATTTTATGATGGTAAAGACTGAAACATACTGATGGTAGGATTTAGTATGTAAACGGACTGAGAGAAGGCATAGGCAATGTTACTAGAAATACATTAGTAATATCCACACACAAATTATGGTGCTGGAGGACTCTTAAGAGTCCTTCGGACAGCAAAGAGATCAAACCAGTCCATCCTAAAGGAAATCAACCCTGAATATTCATTGGTAGGTCTGTTGCTGAAGCTGAAACTCCAATACTTTGGCCACCTGATGCAAAGAGCCAACTCACTGGAAAAGACCTTGATGCTGGGAAGGATTGAGGGCAGAAGAAGAAGGGGGTGACGGAGGATAAGATGGTTGGATGGTATCATCAACTCAATGAACATAGTTTGAGCAAACTTAGGGAGATAGTGAAGGACAGGGAAGCCTGGTGTGCTGCAGTCCATGGCGTCGCAAAGAGTCGGACATGACTTAGCAACTGAATAACAACAACGATATCCACACATGACTAATCTAACCCATTAACTGCCTGTGAAAATCAGCATCCCTTTTTGTGCCCCATTCATTTTTAACAACAGTCTTAGGGCATATGTGGCCCATGGTCCTATTAGAGACAAAGGTGCTTCCTTTCCTGGAGGTTTGTTGCTGGGAGTTGCCAAAAGAATTCTTCATCTCAAAAGTGGTACCTTTGTTCAATGAAGATCTTTGGGGACAGACTTTTCAGCTGTTGTTTTTAATGTACTGTTTCTGAATGTGGGTTTAAAACAGTCTAAGGATATTTTACAGCTAAAAAAAAGAGTGGCAGGTATCTTAACTTCCTTACAATATTTGGCTCATAAATATCAGGTAATAAGTGGCTACAGTTTGGATAAACAATTATTTATCTGAAGATGAATTGAACCTCTTGGATTTCTGACCTCAGACTGCAGTGGTTTGAATATTGAGGGGTACCTATACATGGTGATATTTCTATTTAATGATATTCCCTAGAAATAAGAAAATGACTAATATTTGACTAACTCCAGTGGTCTAGAAATAGTCATCTTCTTCTCAAACAGTCTAGTATTTGGAAAAACAATACATTGCATGCCTTGGTCTCAGTTTATCTAGGGCTATCTTTGCAGGGTTTGCAAACCAGTGGGTTTGCAGGACTTTCTGTGTTCTCATCTCAAAGCTGGCTTTGTTCTTTCCTTTTGCTCAATGCAATAGCTAAACAATTATTGCTGATATATACTTTGTACACACACATACTTCTACAAAGTATACATGTTCTGGTTTATATCCCTGGTTTTTTGCTGTTCATCTTATTTGGTATGTGGTAAGCTTCTGAGACATGGAATTTCAAAACCAAAGTCAACTGGATGTCAAAATTGTACATACATGCACAGCCATGCCCAGGGAAGAGGTGTTCAGATGACTCTTGTGTAGAGGCAGAAGGGTGGTTTTCTCTGCTGTAGCACATCTTAACACGTTGACATGTTTGTAGTTAATTTGAGAGTTTTAAAAATAGACTTACTTTGTGTATGAGACTGAGTCTGCCTCTAGGAATATTCAGAATAGGATGGGAAAGAAGAGCCTTTTTGACTTTTTATTTCAAATCAGGAAGTAAAATGGATAAAGGATCTTAGCTGTTACATACAAATATGTCTTGAGGACCCACATATGGGTTCCATAACAGGCTGTTAGAACACAAAGATAGTGAGTCAGCAGAGGAGAGTTAATGGTCATTAGGGTGGAATTATTGCCCCAATGGGTCTGGAAATTGCAGCTGTCAAATTGACCCTGAAGAAATAAAGGACAGGACAAGGTGGATCTGGAGAAAAGTGCTAGACCTTTTAAAGCTGTTGAAGATTTTAAATCATGTCTTGCAGTGTGCATTTTGTTTATCTACATTTTTCTTTATAATTTGTCCTCTGCCACAGTCTGTCTGCAACAAATAAGTACTAAGGGTGACTTTTGCCTGTAAAGATACCCTTCCTGTGTCCTTTGAGCCTTCCCTCTGAGGCAGTTCTGCTTAGTTATCTCCTCTGGGCTGAGAGAGACTCTGCAAAAAAGGGAGTGATGAGGGAATGAAGTGTCCAGAGGGCTGGAGAGGAGAAGAAGAGAAGCACGAACAAGTGCCGTGTGTGGAAAAACAGGCAGAAGAAGGGGAAGAGAGAGAGAGTGGAGTCCAGGCTGGAGTGGAAAAAATGCAGTGGGGCAGTGTATTTTAGGGAACAGGAAGAGAGACACCTGAAAACAGAAGGCCCTCAAGAGAAAAAAAGTGATACAGGAAGTCAGTTTAAGACAAGCCATGTTCACTGAGCAAGACTCCCACTTGCCCATGAGTAGGGCGTAGGAAGCGATGGAGGGTGAGTGTGCTCAGCACATCCTCTTATCAGCCCTTCCGTGTTCTTTCCCGTCCTGTCTCATTTGTCAGCTGAAAGCAATTTTCTGTTTTCCCCAAGCGATTGTAATACCTGACATAGTTGCCTCTCTCTCTGACTGAGCCCTGGATTTGTGACCAATCAACAGGACAGTGTTCCAGCTAAGGCATGAGAAACTCTTAAAAAGCAGGTCCCAAATTCTCAGCCAGCAGAATAGCATGAGATAATGGGTAATGGAAGGGTGATGCCTTAAGTATTCTATATGTTTTTTATGCTATTATTTACTCTGACAGAAAAGAGCTTTTTGCAGATTTTTGATGCAGAGCAGATAGAGCTTCGGCTTTCTAAAATGATTTGATTGGAGGGATGCAAAATGGCTGTGCAGGTGACTACACAGAATCCTGCCTAGGAAGTAAGTCAGCTTCTATCCATTGAGGCACCTTTTTTTTTTGTTGTTTTCTAGGTAGAGGAACGGTCAAGGCTCAACCGGCAGAGTTCACCTGCCATGCCTCACAAGGTTGCCAACAGGATATCGGACCCCAACCTGCCCCCGCGGTCCGAGTCCTTCAGCATCAGCGGGGTTCAGCCTGCTCGGACACCCCCCATGCTCAGATCAGTCGATCCCCAGGTACAGTGTCCCTTCGTTTCGCTGGGGTTTCAACAGGGTGTACAAGAAAGTCTAACAAAAGGGAATAGTAACATGGATTTGGGTATGAGACCAGCCAAGTCATGGCTTTTCATATCAAATCTCTAGGAAGATAGGAGACCCCACTTAATGTGCAGGATAGAGGGAGAAGTGAGAAGGAAAAAAGCACCATTCTTAACTTTAAGCTAACCGCAAAGTCGCTTCTTGGTAAATTGGCCTCTCAAGAGAACCGTACAAGTTTCTGCTAGTCCAGAACAGGCATCCTGTGAGTTGTAATTACCAAAGCTAACATTTTTGTAGACCTCTTTGTGACCCCATGGACTGTAGCCCACCAGACCCCTCTGTCCATGAAATTCTCCAGTAAAAATACAGGAGTGGGTAGCCATTCCCTTCTCCAGGGATCGAACCCAGGTCTTCGGCATTGCAGGCAGATTCTTTACCATCTGAGCCACCTAGGAAGCTTGATGTGTATATAAACTGTAATATTATCTTTTGTTCCTTGGAATTTTGGCATGAGCCTGAAACTGGAAAAGTTAAATGGACTAGGTGAAGTAAAATTGTGTTTTCTAAGCCAGTGGTTTTAAAAATGTGGTCCCTGGGCCAGCAGCATCAGCATCACCCAGAAACTTGATAGAAATGCAGATTCTCAGGCCCAGCTCAGCCTGCTAATCAGTAACTCTAGGGGTGGGGCTGGAAGTCTGTGATTTAACAGCCTCCAGGTGATTCTGATACACTCTGAAGTTTCAGAACCACTGTTCTAAGCTACTTGGAAAAGAAAAGATTTATTCACTTTTAGATAAGGGGGAAGTTTCTGGAAGTTTTAGAGGAATTTTTTTAAATTGTGTACACCAAAAATGACATAGGAATTGAGATGCAGTATGACATGTCATAAAAAAGAAAGGTTATGCAGCAGTTTTCACCTGAACGTCTTACGTTTCTTCCAGGTCTCCACCTGTGTGAGCATTCCCAGATATTCTGCGGGCACCTTTTATATATGTAATGCTATTTGAACTGGAGTTTCAGAGCAGATACATTCAAGGATTCTGGATTTTAAGTTTGCCTTTAGTATATGAGGCCCAAAATTCTTCAGTACTAGCCAGATTAGCTTATGTAAACACACAAAGTTCCTCTTTAAAAACCCCTAACTTTGACCTTTTAGGAAAGTTTTTCCCTGTAAAAGGAGAGAGTAGAGAGAAAACTTAAGAAACTATGTGAAAGTGACTAGGAAATGAAAATGTTGATATCCTGTGACAGACAGCTAATTGAATTAAGCATTCTTCAGGAGCTTCATTTTTTTGTTTTTGTTTAAGGGACCCTTTCAAAGTAGGTTTGTGTTTTGTACTGCACATTTTTAAAATTGATTTTATTCAAGTATAGTTGATTTACAATGTTGTGTTAAGTTTCTGCCATACAGCAGTGAGATTCAGTTACACATGTATATGCACATTCTTTCTGACAGTCTTTTCCGTTACGCTTTATCACAGGGTATCGAATGTAGCTCCCTGCGTGACACAGTAGGCCTTGTTATTTTTGCACTCTGTATATGATAGGCTGTGTCTGCTCGTCCCAAACCCCAGCCCTTCCCGTCCCCAGCCTCTCCTTGGCAATGACAAGCCTGTTCCTTGTGTCTGGGAGTCTGTTTTGCAGATAAGTTCATTTGCGGCATATTTTAAGTTCCACATATAAGTGATACCATATGGTATTTATCTTTCTCTTCTTGACTTCCTTTACGTGTGATAACCTCAGAGTCCATCCATGCTCCTGCAGATGACAATATTTCATTCTTGTTTATAGCTGAGTTGTATTCCATTGTGTGTGTATGTATATGTATACACGTGTATACATACATGTATATACATATATGTATATACATACCACATTTTCTTTAGTCATGTATCAATGGACATTTCGGTTCTTTCCATGTCTTGGCTATTGTAAATCATGCTTTCATGAACACTGAGGTACATATTTGTAAGACAGGCTTTGTTTTTGTATTAATGCTTAATATATTTAATGATATTTAACCTTAACATGGACTTCCCCAGTGGCTCAGAGGTAAAGAATCCACCTTTGATGCAGGAGACGCGGGTTTGATTGCTGGGTCAGGAAGATCCCCTGGAGAAGGAAAAGGCAACCCACTCCAGTACTCTTGCCAGGAAATTCCCATGGACAGAGGAGCCTGACAGGCTATAGTCCTAGGGGTCTCAAAGAGTCAAACAACTGATCACACACCTGCACAACCTTAATATAAATTTGATTGGTTACAGTTCTATTCTCGTTGAAGCATACACTCAACTGAAGTAGACTTTGAGAATTTCCTTGGAACTATAGTTAGCAACTTTCCAGTCTCCCGAATCAAGAGGGTCAGAAGAGTCTGGGGCAAGGCTGCTCCAGAGATGAGACATCAAGTGCAGGGGGAACAGGGCCAGGCTGGTGGAGGAGGGCTGTTGAGGTGTCCTCTAGCAGTCTAGGCACTGAGATTTCAGACCAAAGAGAGTCTGATAGGTCCCTGGTACAAAGCAAATACTAGATTAATGTTTATTGAATTAACAGTTTAATGTAGAAAATACTCAAGATGTTTTCCCAGCCAGGGTTGATTGACCACCTTCAATATGCCAGGCATGGTGCTAGACTCAGAGAGAGGAAGTCTGACATGGCTTTTGTCTCCTGGGAGCTTCCCTGCATAATGGAGGAGAAAATAGGCTTACATGAGCACAAACAAGGAAGTGTGAGCAGTCAGTGATCATGGTGAAGGATACTCGGAACTCTAGATGCTCATGATTTGTCTTAAAAAGCTACATTTCTACCTAAAGTCTACATTTCTTCCCTGCATGAACGATGTCAATACATGCCAAATTGTGAGACTTCCAACTCTAAAAGAAATGTCCTAGTGTCGTGAAATATATGATATCCTAGGTGGTAAGAGCCAGTTCACCAGAAAGCAGAATCACACAGCAGTTAGGCTGTGGAGTTACAACATAGGAACTAGAATTAGGCATATGTGTAGGTTACAGTCCAGTCTCTGTCGTGTATTAGCTGTGAAATCTAGGTTGTCATTTACCCTCTCTATACCTTACATTCTTATGGGTAAAATGAGAAGAATAATTGTGTCCAGCTCATGGTATTTAATGAGTTAATAAGAAGAAAGATGTTGAGAGCAATTCTTGTTTCACAGAGCACTTTCTGAAGTCCAAGTTAGGAGGTTGAAAGGAGGAAGTTTGTATGCTCAGAAGTGCTTGTAAATGTTTTGCTGGTCAATAACTGTTCACTGAAAATCATTATTATCATGACACTTACTTCACTGACTTCTTAACGGTCCCAAGTCCATCATTTGACTCTTTGCCAGTAAGTCTGGTCCAGCCCTCCAGCTCTAAAATAGGAAATTTGGGAGAGCTTTGAAAAGTATCAGCAAAGAGCTGCTATGGGCTCCATGTACTCTGGTTCTTTCTCCCTAAAATTTTATCCTCCCTTCCCATGAGATCCTCATTGATCTGTGTTTCCTTGGTGACTCAGTAAAGAATCTGCCTGCAATGCAGGAGACCCAGGTTTGATCTCTGGGTCAGGAATATCCCCTGGAGAAGGGGATGGCCACTCCAGTATTCTTGCCTGGAGAATCCCATGGACAGAGGAGCCTGTCAGGCTACAGTCCCTGGGGTCACAAAGAGTCAGACACAAGTGAGCTGCTACTACTGCTTCTAATAATGCTGCTGTGATGTTGGTTTGATGCTTAGATCCCGCATCTGGTAGCAGTGAAATCCCAGGGACCTGCCTTGACCGCCTCCCAGTCGGTGCATGAGCAGCCCACGAAGGGCCTCTCTGGGTTTCAGGAGGCTCTCAATGTGAGTTCTCACCGTGTCGAGATGCCACGCCAGAACTCAGATCCCACGTCTGAAAACCCACCTCTCCCCACTCGCATTGAGAAGTTTGACCGAAGCTCTTGGTTACGACAGGAAGAAGACATTCCACCAAAGGTAACATTACTGGAGTTTTCATCGTCATCTCTATCATTGTCATCAATGTTTATTATTACTACTACTGTTACTGTTATCATTTTTATTACCCCTGTTGCAGACCATTCATAGTACCAAAGAACATGATAACACAGCACTGTCCCTTCTAGCATTTGTGTTGGTCCCTCCTCATTTCCAGGCTAAGACTTGGATTGTCATTCATCATCTCTGATCTCCATTTTCCCCAAAGAAATGGATGCTCTGGTAGACTGAATGACTTGAAAGCATATATGCTGTATCCAGAATTAGAACTCCCAACCTCAAGCCTTCCAAACTTCATTAATACTATCCATCTTGAGAAATAGAATAATACAGATATTCTCATTGATGACTTAATCTATATCTAGACAAATTTAAAATTTCCAGATTAAAAAGTAGAGAATTTATTTCTATTTTTAATAACACAAAGTGAAACCACATTTCAGGTGTTCAGAAAATAGTAATGCTCTTAGAATATGTTAGTTGGTTCCACTAAGGAAAGCTCCCTCTAGGCCAGGTTGTGACTTAATTCCAGTCTTAATTACCAAGGATTAAATTGTAGGCTGAAATGACCAGTTGTTCCACTGGCTTGGTTCCATTTGTTTTGTTTTTGCCTGTACCAAGCTGTTATCCATTCCAAAGTGTCCTAACACATGGCTCTGCATCTCACTACAGACAACCTGAAGTATCTCAAAACACTGGAGAAATGTTGCGTCAGATTCTTCCTGGTTCAGGATTCCCTTTCTCCTGAACTTAGCTGAGGAGCCAGGGCAAATGGAATGCCTCACAGTTTCCATAGATCCATGGCATGATTGATTCCAGAAAAAAAATAATAACTTTTTATCCAAATGTTTTCAAATATTTTTCCTCATCTTCCTCTCAAAAAAATTTCCATGCTTTTGCAAATGAAATTGGCTGATAATGGCTTTTTTGTTGTTCTCGTCTTGGGGATGGCATCAGGCAAGGTTATTTACGGAGCAAAGTTCAATCTGAAAAACAGGACGGGCAGAGGAGCAGACAGCAGGAGAGCTGGGAGACATTGAGGTCATTGGTCCATTCTCTTCAAACATGCAGGCACACTTTTACAACTCTGGAAGAAAAACTTTAGATCAATGCAGAAGTTTTAGGTTTTAATGGTTCATTACTTCCTCTCTACAGCTATTTCAGGTGACCAAATACAAAAGGAAAAATAGCAGTAATATTTAACTGAGCAGGTGGGAGCACTCATTTGGTCATTCTGCATCATTTCACTGACTCATCTTTCTAGATCTTTATCTTAAAATGTTTTATAATAACCAAGGAAACTTGTATTCATGGTAAATATTCTTTAACATATTAAGCAATAATATCAAAACAAAGCATCATTTGAAAATATCTAGTAGAAAATATCCGATTGATCAGAAAGTACGTTCTCTTAGTGGATATGTTATTTAATGATGTTCTTGGTGAAAATGAAAAAAATTTGTCTTACTTTTAGAACCAAATGAACTTTTTGGCCAACCCAATACAAATCCACTTTAAAAGGACCTTCAAAAAAGAAACATCCAAGCACCTGAAGAATGTTCAGCCCACCTAGCTGCCACATTTTCATTTCCTGGTCACTTTTCATAAAGTAAATTTCCCCTCTTCTCCCCTCGTGTTGAACTCCTTTGGTGCGCTTAACAGTATGCAATTTCATTAGAAAATGTTTTATAAAATGAGGCATACTTGAATTTACCTTAGTCCCTTGACCAATAAGCTAATGATACAATTTCCTACTGTACTTTGCAGTCCAATGGGTACTCACATAGTTTTTTGAAGACCTTCCAGGATTTTCATTATTAATCCTGTTTTTTTTTTTTTTATTACATTTGCAAACTGGCCTCCCGAAGTACCCTGTTAGGAGTTTGTTTTGAGTTAGCAATTGCAAGTTGGTTAGCGAGTGGAAACATTTAGGACCTATCGCAGTCATTTCTCTGAGCTCACGGACATGTGGCTTATGTCCCAAGTTCTAGTCTGATACCCTAGTTTCTCACCAGATTTCATAATTTCCTTATCTGTTTATCAGTTGTGCTGTGAGTTAAAAATGGAACTCGATTTATCTGGATGACTCTCATCAGATGCAGTTTCCAATGGCCAACTGAGTTAATGATACCCCAGAGAAATTTCTGGTGTCCACCACTCTTGTGCAAACACAAGGGGGCAATTATTTTAGCCCTGTACGTCAAAGTAATTCACTTGCTCTGTTTCTAAATCTGTTTTTAACATTGAAGGCAGTACTCATTAATGGTTGCTAAAATGTGCCTCATTGCGTTTCCTTTGATTTTGTTTAGGGAGTTGAGTATTTCTTTGAGATGTTTCTTTCCTTCTTCTGATCATTCCGTGTCTCCTGGCGGATCTTAGGAAAGAAGTAGGCTGCATTTGAGGCAGTACCACATGGACGTTATTTTATGGAAAATATTTCTGAATTCTGGTTTCCTTTCAGGTGCCTCAAAGAACAACTTCTATATCCCCAGCATTAGCAAGAAAGAATTCTCCTGGAAATGGTAGTGCTCTGGGACCCAGACTAGGATCTCAACCCATCAGAGCGAGGTAAGGGAAGGAAGATGGGTAAGGTGAAGGGAAGAGCCCCCACCTACCATTGTCATTACTGCTTTCCTAAAAAGCTATCTTTGTTCTTTTTCCACTTCTGAGGCATGTTGACTGGTCACCCGGACTGTAAATTTTGGTGGGCCAGAAGCAAGTCTTTTGTTTCTTCAGTAGCCTTTCACAAAAACCAGTGTATAGTGTAGGCTCATGAATGAATGAGCAAATGAATCACGGAATCAATGCAAAAGCAAAAAAAAAACCTGGCTTACCTTCTTTGGCAGGTTTTCAAATGTGGGAATAATACTACAAATAAAGTCTGGGTGTGGTACCCCTGACCATTAACCTCAGAGACCATTTCATGAAGCCAGCCAAACAACGTGGCCTGATCTGAGATGATTTTTAGCATCAGGTCAAGAAACGTGCCCTGGCTCTGTGGTGACCTAAACAGAAAGAAAACCCAAGGAAGACAGTATATATGTGTATATGTGTGACGGATCCTGGTGCTCAGACAGTAAAGCGTCTGTCTACAATGCGGGAGACCTGGGTTCGATCCCTGGGTCGGGAAGATTCCCTGGAGAAGGAAATGGCAACCCACTCCAGTACTCTTGCCTAGAAAATCCCATGGACGGAGGAGCCTGGTGTCCATGGGGTCTCAAAGAGTCGGACACGACTGAGCGACTTCACTTTCTTTCTTTCTTTATACAGTAGAAACTAACACAACATGGGAAAGCAACTACACTCCAACTTAAAAAACAAAAAGAAAGAAATGTGCCCTGAGGTCTGTTGAGACAGTAGAAAGTAATTAGCAAAGAGGACTTCCCTGGTGGTACAGTAGTTAAGAACCAGCCTACCAATGCAGGGGACACAAGTCCAATCCCATACTTGGTCTGGAAAGATTCCACATGCTTTGGGGCAGCTAAGCCCACGCACCAGAACTCCTGAGCCCTTGTTCTAGAGACTGTGAGCCACAACTCCTGAAGCCTGCGGGCCTAGACCCCATGCTCCGCAACAGAAGAAGCCCCCACAGTGAGAAGCCCATGCTCACCACAACTAGAAAGAGCCCCGGCAAAGCAATGAGGACCCAGCACAGCCAAAGATAAATAAATAAATAATTTTTTTAAAGAAAATAATTGGCAAAGAAATGCTATAGTGACCAGCTGCAGAGCTGTCCTAGTTTGGCAAATGGCAGAAGGACTAGTTCTCGTGAGGAAGTCACCTCTGGCGTTACGGAGTGTCACGGAAATCCAGTGATGCTCCCCCACTGTTGCTCTTTGAGCTTCTGGAATTTTTTACCAACCGTGTATATTCCTACAGTCAGGAAGTTGCATCCACCTACTGGTGGGTGTAGAGGTCTGAAAAGAAGCTGGAAAATAAACAATATCCTTACAGTACCAGAGCATATTTTATGGGGTAACAGATGCTGTTTGTTGCTGTCGTTCATCAAACTCCCCTCACATGTTTCATGAGTACACTCCTTTTTAGGATCAGCTGAAATAGCAAATGGCCTCTGTTGAGACTATAAAAAGGAACTTGGGGGTACTGTGTTATTCTTCATTGTGTTCATAAGAGGACAGTCTCTTGCTAGTCAAAGAGAAAGAGAGACTGGAAATGAAGGTTATGACTGTTTGTACAGATCCTAAAATATGGAATTGTTTTGATCATAAAGCTTTCATTTTTCTCTTCATATGAAAAGCCTTAGGAAGGGGTCAGTCTGTAAGTAAGACAGAACTGTACTAAGAACATTCACCTCTGGAGGGCAAAGAAGCTAGCTCGTTCTGAGTGGAGTTGCCAGTTGCAGAAGCTCTGAATGAGCCGTTTTTGTCCAGCAGCTTGTCAGGTTCATGCTGAGCTGGTGTTGTGAGCAGAACTGACGACCCCTGGTGTGGACTGTGACCAGGGAGCGAAAGGAATGTGAGGCTGGATTGCCAGCCTGAACTTTACCAGTCCTCCTCTTCTAGCGATAATAAGCCTCCAGTATCAGGGCTTCTTGCTCCTTTGAACCCTGCCTTCTAGGCTGTGTTCATGAGATAAGTTGTTTAGAATTTTAGTTTCTGTACATCAAGCATCATTTCAACTTTAAGTCTTTTTCCCTCTATCAACCCAAAAGAAAGAGAACTGTCTTTCTGAAGTCAGATGAAAAGCAGTCCTTTGTTCCCTCTGAAGTACTATTTTAATGACATTAAGACTCCAAAATAACTGATAAATGGTCCTGCATGCATTGCTCAGTCGCTTCAGTTGTGTCCAGCTCTTTGCGACCCCATGAACTAGAGCCTCCCAGTCTCCTCTGTCCATGGGATTCTCCAGGCAAGAATACTGGAATGGGTTGCCATGCCCTCCAACAGGGCATCTTCCCGACCCAGGGATCGAACCCAAGTCTCCTGCATTGCAGGTGAATTCTTTACCTGCTGAGCCACCAGGGAAGCCCAATAAATGGTCAGTGGCTTGCAAAACATGTGCTTTTCCCTTAGAACCTCCTAAACATTGTATTCTGTCCAAAGAAAGGAGATCTTGTGAATACAGCTAACATTTTTCTGTTTACAGAGAAGGTAGGGAGGAAATGAACGTGGTGGTAATGATTATTTACCTGCAATGAGAATCAAAGGCATTGTAGGGGAGGGAGGATAGAGAATCCCCATCTCGGCCATGTAGAACAATCCTGCTTCTTTCTATCACGTATCTCTAAGTGACCAGCACTTAAAGATGTGACACAGACTCTGCAGCTCTAGATTGAATTGCATTTTGAAACGTTTCAGGATTTGGTGTTATGTTGCCTGGAAAAATCCCATGGATGGAGGAGCCTGGTGGGCTGCAGTCCATGCGGTCGCTAAGAGTCGGAAACGACTGAGCGTCTTCACTTTCACTTTTCACTATCATGCATTGGAGAAGGAAATGGCAACCCACTCCAGTGTTCTTGCCTGGAGAATCCCAGGGATGGGGGACCCCGGTGGGCTGCCGTCTATGGGGTCACACAGAGTCGGACACGACTGAAGCGACTTAGCAGCAGCAGCAGCAGCAGCACTGTGCTCGAGATGGCTTTAGTTCACCTTTGTTGTGTAATAAAACGGGTGGCTTGAAACAGTAGCTGTTCATGATTTCTCACCATTCTGTGGCTTGACCTCAACATTGTCCTGCTGGCCTCACCTGAGCTGGCTTACGCAGCTGCACTGCAGTGGCGGGTCCGCTGTACCTTCATGTGGATGCTCGGCCTCAGCTTCTTGACTGTTTGGTGATTGCAGGACAGCATCTCAAGAGGGAAAAGCCCAGTACACAACTGGAGGAGAATTGCTTTCCAGTGTTGTGTTAGTTTCTGCTGTACACAAATATGAATCAGCAATATGCATACATATGTCACCTCCCTCCCTCCCTGCTCCATCTGACCCCTCTAGGTCATCACAGACCCCGGAGCTGGGCTCCCTGTGCTGTGTGGCCGCTTCCCACTAGCTGTGTGTTTTACACATGGTAGTGTCTGTATTTTAGTGCTACTCCTTATTTCATCCCACCCTTCCTCCTCCCCCCCCCCCCTCCGTGTCCACATGTCCATCCTCTACATATGCATCTCCATTCCTACCCTGAAAATAGCTTTACCTGTACCATTTCTCTGGATTCCATACATACATGTTAATATACAATATGCGTTTTGCTCTTTTTGACTTACTTCACTCTGTATAACAGTCTGTAGGTCCATCCACATCAGTATAGATGATCCCGTTTTGTTCCTGTTTGTAGCTGAGTCATATTCCATTGTATATATGTACCATATCTTCTTTACCTGTTCATCTGTTGATGGACATTTAGGTTGCTTCCATGTCCCGGCTGTTGCAAATACAAACACTTTTGAAGCTTTTGCTTCTATCATCTTTGCTAATGATATGATTCACCAATGGTTGGGTGGGGGGGATTACCGTAATAGGACAGAGATTGTCCTATTTTCTATTGGTTCTAATAAGGTCCTTATAGGTTTTTGGTACCATTTGTCAGATAACTGCCCATCCATAAAGCCATAAAAAGGTTGCTTTTAAATATTTTGTTCTTTGCAATACCATATGGACTCCCAAATACCACTGTCAAGGTAAACTGGTGAGTTTAAATTATGATTTGATTTGTTCATTTTTTAAATTTGTTTTAAAACCTCCCATGCACTTTAACATTTAACTTTGATTCATGTGTTCTTTTAAAGCAAATTAAAATTTGATTAAGCAAATACATTCAGAATATGAAACATTTTAAATTAATCCAATAATACCCAGTCAAAACCCAATGACTGAATGCTTAATTAAAAAAAATAATAATTCTCTGGCCTATCCCAAACCTATCTGCTTATGGCTGGCTTGTTCTCATTGGCTGTGTCATCAGAGAACAAAGGAAAATGAATGTGGGCAGGCAGCCAGTTAATTATAGACTTGGCCCAAATATTTGGGCCAAGAAACCACTTTGTAATCTTAATTTTCTGTTTTGACTTTTTTATATGATTCAAGTAAATGGAATAATTTTCTTTTTACTGTGTGTTTTATAAACCAAACAGCATTGTCTGCAGTATGCCAAATGTCTGAAGTAAAAGTTAGCATTAGAAGTCTATATGCATGTTTTCAAGTTTTTACATATTTGGATCTGAATAAGATCAGTTAATACATAAACACAGGAAATCTATTGTTTCATGGAATTGTTCTGAAATTGATCCCCTCTAAGAGCATTTATCTCAAGCACTTTGGCCCCAAGGCCAGATCAGGTGACACCATAGTAAGGAAGAGAGGAACATGGCAGTGTGACATTTTCTCAAAGCACTCATATTTTACCAAAAAAAAAAAAGATAGAAAAGGCATTTGAAAATGTTCCCTATTTCTATGTGTGATTACATGGAAACTAAACACTTCTTTCAGACTCCAGCAGCAAAAATAGCAACCTATTAAGATCCGTACCCACACTGGTTAACTCCAGTGGGAGGATGGGGGGACAGACTTGTACTAACGAAGCCCAGATCAGGGGTTTAATGCTCTTGGGGTCCAATCAGCTTCACACCGAAAGAGGCCTGAGCCCCAGTCAGAGACGCAGGCTCCTTCCAGCTGGTTCTGCTGATGCCCTGGCACCTCTGTCATCCCAGTACAGCCCTGGCCCAGGTCTTATCATCTAACGTGACCACAGCCTCCTCTTTGGTCAGCCTGCCTGTGTCCCGACCAGTCATTCATAAGCCGGCCCTGGGAGGCCTGTGTTTTCTGCCTGGCTTTAAGAGAATTGCTATAGAAGCTTCCCATTTCCAAAAAAAGAAGATGAAGCTTCCCATTTATTTTGATGACCCACTCTCCAAGGGTTTCCTACACAGACTTGGTACTCAGCCAGGATGGTGTCATCTTTATACCAAGGAGCCCCAGGAAAACCCAGGTCCATGTCTTTGCTCAGACTGTTCCCCCAGCCTTGCTGCTCACCCCTCTGAAGTTTAATCAAGTCCTTTCTCCTTCCCAGCACCACCACCAACCACTCCAGGCTGCAATACACTGCATTCCCCAGACTCCGCTATGCTCGCATAGAGTGTAGAGTTTTGCCTTGCTGGCTGTGATCTCCACTGCATGTCTCATCGCTAGGATTATGTTGTAACTTGACTGTCTGTCCTGTGACCTGAACTCTTCTCCATCCCTCATGGTCTCACAAAGGCAGGTGCTTAATGAAGGGTTTTGGCTAAAGGACCAAAAAAGTGATGCATTCGAGCAAAGAGCTGGATCCTGCTACCATACGGCAATAACCAGGGAAAGTCCTCAGAGCTCACAGAACTCCATTCTCTCAATAGGCTTTTTGTTTGTTTTCACACAAAGAACACTACATCTCTACAAAATGAGAACAGCCACCAAGAAACCTTACCCTTAACGTGTAATGTAATTTAAAAAAAATTTTTTTTAGAATTTATTAATTATACATAAATAATTCCTGACCACTACTGTTTAATGAAAGAGAACAGTAGGGAAGAAGTTATTATTTAGGAATTTAAATAGGATTATTTTTTGGAAAAAAAATGAAAAATTGGAAATGTGAGATATTGCAGAATTAGCATTCATTTATCATGCTATTCTACTTAGAATATTATATTAGATATACTATAGATATTTAGATATCTAATTATTATTATAGACATTCTAATAATATCTAATTATTATCTAGATAATTTGGATCTAGATAATAATTAGATATTCTTCAAATAGGAGGGAGGTTTTTTCTCTTATGGATCCAAATCTATCTCAATCAATTAAATGCTAATTACTGCCCAAAGGAGTGCCATAAAAATGCCAAGAATTTTTAAAGTCTTCCTTAAGTTTACCGACACTTTCTTCTGCAGTCAATTTTTACTGCTGGATTGACTTACCCACCCCTTTACCATAAAAAAAATTGAAAGGTGAATATTGTCATAAAATCTACATTTATATTATCAAAATTAATAAATCATAAAGATATAGTTATATTACGTTTTCCAGAATCACCAGCCATCTCTTCCACTAACCCAGTGTTTAAGGATTTTTGTAATTCCGCCAAATATTTTTGTTTTCAGAAAGAAATTATTTGGTTTAGTTGCTGCCATAACAATGCAATTTTGTGGCCAGATTTTCACAGGCCAAACTGCAAGTGTCTCAAGGGAAGGGACCATATTATTTTCACATTTACATGTGAAGCGTCTGACACCCAACACAGCACAGAGTGCCTGGTTCCCACTTGATATTCTTAAAATGGGCAGAGAAAAATGAAAGCATAGTATTACATTTTAATGTGATAGCTCACTGCATGAAAATAATAGCACTATGACGACTCTGTTAGTGAAATTCTGTTTGAAGAACTGAAGACAATGAAATCATGGAGGAGCCGATGTTTCTCCCTTGGCAGGTGGATGGCAGTGGATAGGATCTTTGGATTTCAGATCTCACTAAATTACCACTTAGGCCCAGCAGTATAGAAGTCCAGAGGGAAAAATGGAGAGGTCTATGGCATATAGATTTGAAAGAAGAAAATTGGAAAATACTGCTTACTTTTATAACAAAATCCTGAAATCCTCTCGGTCTCCTCCCACCACCACTGCTTAGCGGCCTCCTCCTCTCTGCAGCCCCTGTGGTCCCCAAAAGTGGCCTTGGAGTCTGCTTCATGTTCCCACACTGCCCTGTGCGCACTGCAGGCATAGCATGAACAAAGACCACTGTGTGTGTCTGGCGACATTGGCAGAGGGGACGAGCTGGATCCTGTTCATTCCTATATCTCAAAGGTCTGACCCAGTGCCCGGTGTAGACCAGCTGAGTGAATGAATAAATGCACTATTTTGGGAGTAGTGAAGATGTGAGAGTGAATAATAGAGTAGCGTTTATAACCAGTGGGGGCTTTTAGCCTGCCAATAGATGAACGCTGTTCTTGGGTTTAGCACTTAATAATTATTTTCAAACATACTTCCCTTTGGTAATAGCCAAGGTATGTAAAGATTTCCTGCAAGAAATTTTAAAATGCAAAGATACCACTAGCTATGTGAGCTGAGAACTTAGGTAATTCACAGAAGAGGAATTCTGAATAACAAATAAATGTGAATAAAAATTATTCTACCTCAACAATAATTTTAAAAAACTGCATTAAAACATGAAAATATAATTTTTTGCAAGTTAGTTACCTGTTCATAATAAAGACTGGTAAGAATTCAATGAGATGGATAGTCTTATACACTGTAGTGAAAACCTGCTGTATGTTTATATGTTCACATACATATATATGTGCACATGCATACCCCAGTTCATGCCCCTCCACCCAAGAATTCCAATTCCAGGAGAGATGTGACTGAATATTTGTTTGCCTCTAGGTGTTTATTCCAGTATTATGTGTCCCAGCAATATATTGGAAGCACCTAATAACAGAAGAATGATTGAACTAATTCACCTACATAATGGACTACTATGCAGCCATTATTGTTTTTAGAAGTGTTAGAAGCTGCTCGAAAGGCAGTCAAACGGGGAAAAAAGCAATATGCAAAATTGAATACACAGTATGCTTTCATACATGCAAAAGAAAAAAGGCTAGAAGCGGACTTCCCTGGTTGTCTAGTGGTTAAGGATCTGCACAAGTTTGAGCCCTGGTCTGGGAAGATCCCACTTGCCACAGGGCAGATAAGCCTTTGAGCTGCAGCTCACCAAAGCCCACTCTCCCTGGAGCCCGTGCTCTGCAACTAGAGAAAGCCCGCACGCAGCAACAACGACCCAGTGCAGGCAAAAATGAATAAATTATTTTTTTTCTAAGACTAGAAGACAATATATCATCCAGTAAAAGACAGCTGAATGTCTCTTGATTCAGAGATGGCATGCATTGCTCCCTTGTTTTTATCTTTTAATATTCTCTACTCTTTTACAATGAGCACAGAAAAAGGGGTTTCAATGCCAGCCTCCTTTGAAGGTTCACCATTTCGGAGCTAATATGTTTGATGTGAGATGATCCAAGAGTTGGGTCAAGAATTCATCCTGTCCAGATGTGGAATCTGGCCAGCAGCTCCACAGAAGACAGCTTGACTGTCCTTAACATTGATCCCTTTAATGCAAGGTGACATAGGCACTGTCTTCATCTCTTTGTACTGGGGGCGGGACTGGACTACACTTGTGTCTCCCAGTGGCCAGTCCTTGAGAATGTGAGCCCTGGGCATCGCTGTCCCTACAGCAACCCCGACCTCCGGAGAACCGAGCCCGTCTTGGAGAGCCCCTTGCAGAGGACCAGCAGTGGCAGTTCTTCCAGCTCCAGCACCCCCAGCTCCCAGCCCAGCTCCCAAGGCGGCTCTCAGCCTGGGTCACAAGCAGGATCCAGCGAACGGACCCGGGTTCGAGGTAAAGCTTTCCCCCACCTTTCCAGGAGGGCTTCTCTGGACGAGGAATCAGATTGCTTCCTGACTTCTGTGACTCCTGGTCCTGGTGTGGCCACCACTATGTGATGCCAAGAAGCCCCTTAACTCCACTCGGCTTCAGTCTCCTTAGGCCAGTGGGCCACCATCCCCAGTCACGTGTGTGACATCAGTGTGGACCCAATCCTTTCTAATTGCAGATACCAGAATTCTTCAGGGAGATCGCAGAATACTGGTCTCATTTGAAAATATAGTCATCAGACAGCTCAATTTCCATTTCTATTTGATTGCTTAGTTAGAGTTCCATGACCCACAAGTATCCTCTTCCCCTGTGTCAACAGTGTTCAGAATACAAGGTATTTCTCAAACTAAACGTTAATAAAGGCTAATGTAGAATAAATATGCACTGGAGAGAAGATATAAAATCTTTGACTTTAAAAAATATACTTGACCCTTCTGGTTATTCCTATTAGTGAGGTAAAAATTAACCTCTCTGACCATTTAATTCAAGTCATCCTTCATTGTTTAGCTTTCAGTAATGAGGAAGCTTGTGAAAAACATTAATGTGTCCAGCTAATTATACGTGACAACCTATTGTTTCTAACTAATCAAAATGTACTCTTTCTGCATAAACCTTCTTCAGAAGATAATTTTGCTTCCAAGTAATGAAGGCTGGGATTTTTTTAAGTGCAATTTGAAAACACTTAATACTCTGCCTGATGAAAAGCACCAGTTCTTTATTCTTTCTTAGCCTCTTCATTAGATACAGTCATTCTTTACCTCCTAATTTTTTTTTTTTAAGTAAACTCACTGTATGTCTATTTTGAAAAGGTGAATGTCAGACATACTGTGCTGTGTCCCTGAACTGGGGTGGGGACTGGCCTGCAGCTGCCTCGTTTTACAATCTTCTGACATCCATGACAACCCAGAACTGTGTAGACTTCTGTTGCTTTGATCCAGATATAGACTTACTAACTTTAGAAAAGTGCCATTCTCTTACCTTTTTTTCTGTTCATATAAAATAAAATAATATGTTTCATTAAAGCAAATGCTAAAGAAAATCCAAACTTGGGCATATCATTTTGATTATCTGATCTGGTTCAGGTTTAATTCTTAACTTCTTCCCTTTGACCTCTAGTTTTTCTGGGTTAAAAGCTAGTATGTCCTACCCTGCTGTGTCCCTGCCCAGGAAAAACCACTTTGAAACCAAACCAAAGAGTATCTCCCGTCTGAGATTGCTTCTTCTCTAACCTGTAAGCTCATAAATCAGAGAGATGCTCTTCACTCTGTAGCAGCCCTCCCCCAACCTTTGCTCTATTCCAGGGCACATCCCCTTTATCACCAAACTCTCCTTCCCTCCCTCACCTCATTCTTTCTTCCTTAAAGGACCCAGACAGCTAGCTCATCATCCCCCCGCCCATTTAAAAATCATTCCCCCAAGTAAAACAAGTTTCTTTTTTTCCACAGCATTTCATCAAAAACACTTATCCTGATGGGTAAGTGGTAAAAGAAAAGAATCAAACATAGAATAACTCAGATGCTGGTTTAACATAATTGAGAATACGACTGTGAGAAATCAGACAGATTCCCAGCTCTGCCATAATTTCAGTGTGACCTTGGGCTAGTTGTGTTATTTCTCTGTATTCAGCTGTGAAATAGGAAACCAGTGGCACACCATTAGGTTACAGCAAGGATTCAGTGAGACAATTGACATCAGAAGGTGTTTAGCACTAACCATGGCACGCCATTGGTACTCAGGAAATGTGGCGCTTGCTAGTTTTTCCTTTTTTTTTTTTTTTTTTAGTTTTTCCTTTTGTTCCTAGTGACTTCCAGGTGACAAGCCTAAATGTATGACTGATTTTGTTTGCCTGAATATTTACTGTTTTTTCGCAGATGTGCTTGAGGATCTGTCTGAGTGAGTGAGGTGTCCGCTGAGTCATCCCAAGGATGACGCACCACAGAACTCCAGCACCTTCTGATGGTCATTATCTTTCTTGGCCCTCTCTTCTTTCCTCTAGCCAACAGTAAGTCGGAAGGATCACCTGTGCTCCCCCATGAGCCCTCCAAGGTGAAACCAGAAGAATCCAGGGAAATTACCCGACCAAGTCGCCCAGCTGTGAGTGCTTTTTTCTCAAGAGTTTTGAGCTCTTTTCATTCACCAGAGAACCCACAGTGTAAAGTAGTTGGGGATGTGCTCATGACTCAGAAACAAAAGTTGTTGAGTTTATTAAGAACAGGTGCTAGAAGCATCTGGAAGGAAGTCATACCTGATTAGGAAAGAACTGAACTGATTCAGGATTGCTCTCCTACCTTTGGATATTTTGCAGGTCATTAGCACTATATTTGGAGAAGGAAATGGCAACCCACTCCAGTACTCTTGCCTGGAGAATCCCAGGGACAGAGGAGCCTGGTGGGCTGCCGTCTATGGGATCACACAGAGTCAGACACGACTGAAGTGACTTAGCTGCAGCAGCAGCATCACTATGTTAGGAAACAAAACAGGAAGAGAAATAACTCCTATTATTCCATGATTTCTACTCAGCAGCTTTGGCAAAGAGATGTTGAAACTAGCAGTTAAGAATATTTGGGCACTTTCTGTGGATTTCTCTTAAATATTCTGGCCTTTCCTCCACATTATTTTCCATATGAATTAATATTGCAACATTTCTGCTGCTCTAGGACTATATTGTCTGGACCAAAACTTGATAAGCATGATCTCATAGAGGACCTGACAACCTGAAATCTAGCTTCATTGCTGTAACACATCAGACCCCAGAGATGGCCTTAAAGGAATAAAAAAGAGCTTGGAGGCTGAAATTTCAAAGTTGGAAATTAATTTGGGATGACTTACTATCCACTTGCTTTATCTGAATTTTTCAAGAGTCTTTTCTATGAAATGAATGTGAAGATATTTTGGTTTTTTTACCTTTAAAAGTAAGGAAGTACAATGAGGATAGCAATGAAGGGAATTGACACCATTCTGGGTAGAGGTTCTCCTTTCCCTTTTGCCTTTATCAGCTGTGTACTAACCATTCCCGTTTTGTGTTTAACCTGCTGCCTTTCTTCTGGTCTTTTCCCCTCCTGTGGATTCTTCTGGATTGGGTTCCTCTTATCTCAGAGCTATAAGAAAGCTATAGATGAGGTTAGTATTATCTTTTCTTGGTCATGCTTTTACAAGATGTGAATATAAACTGACTTCCTGAGGTTGATATTCAGAAAGGTGGCCAATTGGATCTAAGTTTAAACCTCATTCCTTCAGAGTGATCTGCTGGGAGGAGAGTACCTCCCACAAAAGCCAGCCTGAGTGCCTCCGACACCTTTTAAACCTCCAGAGACCTTCCTCCTAAGCCAAAATGTCACTTTTCCAGTGTTCCAGTCTGGCTGAAGATATGCATTAGTGCTTTGATACCGGCAGTTTCTCATTCTAGTATCTTCCGGTTGCAAATCCTGAGCTCTTCACCTCCACTCGCCTGCCTGGCTAGGCGATGGTGGTTTTACTAACAAAAAAGAGACATCTTTTTCTAGGGCCGTCCAAATTTATAGAGTGTGATTTGTGAACAAGGAGTCACTGGCTATCCTTAGATTAATTTTGTGGGACATTAACTACAGCATCAGCAGCAATATCACCTTTAGTTAATGAATCCTGACCAGTTAAGTAACTTTATTTCCTTATCAGTGGAGACATTTTTCCATTAGAAAAATATATGGTTTTGCCGATCTTAGGTAGCTTGCTAAGAAGGATGACTGCCTCACTGCTCTTTGTCAGACCTGCATGAATACAGCATAGTGGAGTTGTTTTGGAAGAGACAGGCCTTCTGCAAAGAGTCTAATTGCATGAAATCTGAAGACTAGCATTATGGCTTTCAGGCTGAACTCTGCTGAGCACCATTTTTGTGAAATGACATGGAAAAAGCACTGGCTTTGGGGTCAACGAGCTGCATTCAAATTCTGGCTCCCGCAATAAATAACTGGTGGGGCCTATCTCACAAACTCTCTGGGTCACAGTTTCCTCATCTGTACAGTGGGGATAAAAGCACCTGCCTTGCCTTACTCACAAGATTGTTTAGGTTCCCTCAAGATCATGTGTGTTTGAGAGCATTTTCTGAAGTGTAAAATGCTATGTAAAGGCAAGGCCTGAGGCATGGGACTATTTTGGTGGGAAAAGCACATTTCTATGTGTCTGATCTTTACCAAAAAGCCTCACTTTTTCAGAATTAGCCTCACCTTACCATTCAGAATGACTTAGAAAGTTTTCATAGTTAAAGAATTATTGTTCACAAAAGAATAAGACTCCACATGTCCACAGTGTGTGGGTGCATTTATAGAAAGAAAAAAGGGAATTGTTTTGAATTGCTGTGTGCTGCAGCCTTGCCCCTCCTCTTCATAAGGGTGAGGAGGATAGGGATTATCACAGCTTTTATCAACTTTCTCCCACACAGTTCTGGTGCTCAGGCTACCAATAAAATAGTTGTGTGTTTACACAACTCAAGGTTTCCTCTTATGAGTCCAGAAATTGGCTTGGAGGTGGCTGTCATGAGGGAAAGGACTCTCATGGATTCCGTCTGGTTAACCCAGGCTATTTTGGGCTTTTAAAAATTGCTTTATTTATTTCAGGATACTCTAGCACATTGGACAGAGATGAGAGGTAGGAAACAGAAGTATAAGTAATTGAGAGGATGTAAGCTGTGCACCAAAATCTTGGAGCAATAGATGATTGGGAAAAGCCCCGAAGGTGATTCTTATAACTCTGTCCTTGACTATCGCTTATCCCGACCACTGAAAATATGGGATTCCTTGGTTCTACATCACCTGGTGGTCCTCAGCGAGGAATGACTATCCCCCAGCTGCCTTCCTCTTAGGAGACGTTTGCAAAGTCTAGAGTCAGTTTGGGGGCCTTCTCTGGTGTCTCAGCAGTAAAGAATCTGCCTGCCAGTGCAGGAGACATGGGTTAAATCCCTGAATCAGGAACATTTCCTGGAGAAGGAAATGGCAACCCACTCCAGTATTCTTGCCTGAAAAATCCCATAGACAGAAGAGCCTGGCGGACTACAGTACATGGGGTTGCAAAGAGTCGGACATAACTGAGTACGCACGAGAGTCAGTTTTGATTGTCACAAGTGGGACATGGGAAGCAGTGCTGTTGGCATGTGTGTGTAGAGCAGAAAGATGCTGCTAAATATCTTACAATGCACAGGAAAATAACCTGCGATAGAGAATTATCCACTCCAAATGTGGTGCCACAGTGGAAAAAACTTGACTTAACTCTCTCTCCTGTCTTCATTCCTAGGTTTTGATATGGCTTCTCCAGTCTCCAGTGACTGATGTGCCATTTAGATAACCCAAGATTGAAATGAGCAGTCTTAAAGTGCCAAAGACAGAATTGCTTCTTATTGCTAAGTTAATGGTTTGAGTTCTCATAAAAGTCAGTTTGGGGGAGAGTCCATTCACTTGGCATTCCTTCCTAATGCAGTGTGAGATTGTGCAGAGTAGTCTGATTATTGAATACACCTTCCAAAATAAATATTCTTTTCACTTTAGCACAATTAAACAGATGTCATGAAGATTAGATACAAAAGCAAACACTGGCTTTACTAGCATTTTTTTTTCATTAGTATTTAGAAATCTGACAATTGGCAGAGCACATATATAGATTGGACAGAACTGGAACAATAACAGGTGGTCCAAACCTTTTTTTCCCCAGTTGAAAATACTGATGACAAGTGACTTCCCCAAGTCATATCTTTACACTTCCTAAAAAGGAAATGATTATTTTAAAAAGTAAAGAAAAGACCGAGACTTCCCTGGTGGTCCAATCATTGAGAATCTGCCTTCCAGTGCAAGGGATGTGGGTTTTATCCCTGGAAACTAAGATTCCCACATGCCTCAGGGCAACAAAGAGCCTGCATGCTCTAATGAGGAGTCAGCACAGCCAAAAATAAAAATAAGTAAATTTTAAAGAAAGACCAACTTTAAAATTTTTAACTGTTATTTTAATTGTTTAAAAAATTGAACTGATTTTCATAAGCTATATTGTTTTTAAAAAGATAACCAGAAGAGCACCTTTTAAAGCAGAGTATGCATAATTGTCAGATTAAGTAAACTTTTTTGAAAGAAAAATTATACCAAGTTGATTCTAAAAAGTGTTCTATAAAAGAAACCTTTGGGTAAGAGCCCCTTAACTATCTGTTACTCTGTAATCAGAAAACTTACCATTTTGCCATATTTCTTTTAAACTTACATATTCTCAAATATTTTCATGGTAAATAGCACCCTTTTTCTCTTTTTTTAATACTTTTTAGCTCCAGGCTTGTGACAGTCAAGCAGTAAATTACCACAAAAACTCATTACATGGAGAAAATGGGTATTGTCAGAAAATAAAACATATGAAAATGGATCTGAACCCAATGATGTCAATTTTAGATCATGTTTGTTTCCTATAACTTGACTATTGTAAGTTTCTCCAGGATAGATGAATAAGGAACAAATCTTCAACTAAACGTATAGACTATGGGCAATGGAAGATTAAAATTTTTTTTGGCTGGAGTTTCGAGTTACCCTTTATTGTTACCTTGGGATTTTTATATATGTCTCACCCACCATGCTATTACCAATTAAGCTTAAAAGGAAATTGCAATCATTTGTACTGCTTCAGGAAAGATAACTTTTTAATAACACAGAAACCCCAAAAAAAAAAAAACCTCTAAGTGAAATTATAAAGTATGTCAGAGCTTTAAAGTGTTCCTAAATACAGTGTTTGGAGAAACTTAGGTCATTTTAACAATTGAGAGTTTCTTTAAATCAGTGAGCTTTGGACAAGCTAAATATTTCTAAATAGTTTTCATTTTTTAAAATCTTAATTGTCTTGTTTTGAAATGTCAGCAATAAGGAAAACTAACCCATGGGGAAAATGAATTATTAATTTAAATAAATAAAAGTTAATATTATATTTTATTCAAAATTATTGACACTACAAATAAACTCTTTTAAACCATATTCTCTCTTTAAGTTATAATAAAAAATTTTAATAAGTACATTTTAAATACTAGATATAGTCTTTGATGAGACATAACATGGTCCTAAGATAGAGAACAAAAAATGCAAAATAAATTTATCTAATTTTTTATTATTTTATTGGTTTAGAGGATTGTAATGTCCTTTTTCATTAATTGCCTTAACAAATATCTAAACTGTATTTTCTCAATGTGCTCAAGGGCATAATACCCTTCATTTCTCCTCAATTTGGTAAAGGTAAACATTGGCAATTATTAAAAGGAAATAAGAGGTAAAAAGCTGAAATCTGAATATTAGCTTTTTGAATTTTGGCTCATTGCCAAAGAAACCAATAATAAATTTGCATAAAATTCTATGCCGTAATTTTTCTCCTCATTAATGGTATACACTATATTCAAACATCTTTTGAGTCTTTTTAATCAATTTTGTTTTCATTTTCATGGATGGGATAAATATATCCACTGAGAGTGAGGCCATGGCTATGTGCATGTGTGTAAAAGCCCAGTGAGCATGTTTGTGTGGAAAATGCACAATTTGAATTTTCAGAAGCTTCCCTTTTCCAAGGGCTTCCATTCAAGTGACTGCAGAACAAATATTGAAGTTGTCATTGCTGTCCCTTTGATTTTTATGAAATTAGAAATAAATTCTTCACTTAATTTCCTAAATTTTAACCATGAAAAACCTGAACCATCTTCTGCCCTTAGTCTTAACCAATATATCAATGCCTGACATATAGGCATGAGTAAAGAAACAGGATGATCTGTTGTCTTCTCAAAATAAAATTATATCTATAGTTTAGTTACACATATTTATCACAGTTTTTCTTCTAACCTATTAGGATAGATCATCAGATGTTATTTACATCATCTGTATTACTCTGACCTTACATCAGACAAATTGACAAATACATTTTTGGATTAAAATAAAGAGAGAATATGGCCTTAAGAAAACTGTGGGATTTAGTATCTTCAAATGAGTTTCTTTCTCCCTAATCCCCTGTCTCTCACTGAATGCTCTGATTCCCACATGGGTCACTAATATAGGGAGAAATGGTAAGACTGATGTCAAATTGCTTTTTCTTCATGTGCATGCTGTGTGCCAAGGGCAGTTTAACCCATGCAAATAGAGCGACCCTGCTTTTGCAGAACTGCTTCCCTCTGCATTGCTCTGAAAGCATGTAAACTAAAAGGTAGTCAGATCTTCAGCACACTGCCTGCCATGTGCCTGGTGACTAAATACCACCTCATCACATCCATAAGGCTGAAGGTTTCATCACACTCATGGGAAACTGAAACTTTACCTCTTCTTTTTGGTGTTTGCACCTTCATTTCTGTATTCTTTGCCAGGATTTCTGCCAGTTGACTGCAGTTTAAAACAAAAGAAACTGAAACACCTATCATTCTAGAAAAGAATTCTTTTTCTGTTTGTTTTTGTTTGTTTTTTGTTTTATTTTGTTGTTCCTCTTGATTAACTCAGCTCTGTGGCTATCACTTTCAGTGGCACTGGGCTTTGGGGTGGGCCATTTTTTGACACAGTGCCTCGGCTCTCCAGGGGATGATGATGCACCAAATGAGTCATTTAGTAGCTGGAACCTTGGGAATTGCTCTGTTCTGTGACTGATGCTAGATTTTGGAACAGTAGCAATCATAATGAGGAAGAGGCCATGACTGTGGCTTGGGCAGCGATCCTGAAATACTGGGAAATTATTTCTAATCTTGTGTATTTTCCCATTAACTCTGAGGGTGGGTGAGCAACTTCACCTTCCCAAAAGATGAACCCAGAGTCTGTATATATGTATACACACACAGCCCACATACACATATATACATGTGCAGATTCAGAACCCAGCAGTCTCAGTCTAGTGAAGCAATTAGTTGTAAACAAAGTTTAAATTTATTTCATCTTTCTTTTCTAGTTTCTCCACGCTGCAAGCATCGTTTTCTTGGTTTCATGCAGTAACTATGTTTGTAATGGTTCTATAGAGAGCTTTTTTTTTTTTTTTTTTTTACTTTTTTTTTTCCTTGTTGCTTAAGCTGGAGACTTGCTAAAAGATAGTGTTTTGCTCTTATCTATGTCATATCTGCTGGACAAACTTTTCTTTTGTAGGATCTGACGGCGTTGGCCAAAGAATTAAGAGAACTTCGGATTGAAGAAACAAACCGCCCGCTGAAGAAGGTAACAGATTACTCCTCCTCCAGTGAGGAGTCAGAAAGCAGTGATGAAGAGGAGGAAGACGGAGAGAGTGAGACCCAGGACGGGACGGTGGCTGTCAGCGACATACCCAGACTGATGTAAGACACCTGCTTTTTCATTGTAGGCCAGGAGGAGTTAGGTCTCCAAAACAAGAAGACAATAAATGTGAAATATGGGTCTCTGGCAGGATTGGTTGACTTTGGGGATTCACATACTTTTTAGAGCATTGTTCTACATTCACCCCTTCTCCCTAGATACAGTAACTTAGAGTATGTAGTGTTTCAAGGACTGCATATACTTTATCTAGGCTGTTGTGAGGCTGACTGTCCCTTGGGTGATGTCCCTGTTGGTTCTTGTCATCTCAGGGCAAGTGATATTGATAGTCAGACCCTAAAACTAAAGAGCGAAATTATAGGCAATAACATTTCGAGGTTAACATTGATAACGTGAGTCATATATTTCACCATCACCACCACTGCAAAGGTGGGTGGAATGCAGGAGACAGCATGGGTTAGCATCCCAGCAAAAGCCTACAGTGAAACCTCTGAGAGTTTGACTTAAATACACTCCTGTTAGGATTTTCTACTTCATCTTCTCCATTGTCTCTTTTATGTGATCCTTTTTGCTGCCTGACTTCACCACGTACACTCTTCTTTTTTAGATATTTATAGCTACCTAGCTTTCCCTTAGTATTTGCAGTCTTTCCTTCTTCTCTTTTCTTTTTTTAGTGAAGGGGCGCTCCCTTTTTCTCACTGGACTGGATCCTTTTACAAAAGAACCTCTCCTCTTCCCCTTTACTTGCCCAATTCAAGCAATCATTCATACAAGCATACTCACATAGGTCTCTCATTTCCTCCCTCAAATAAACACAAGGCACCCAGCTCTGGTTTGCTACAACTTTGATAAAGAGCAGTGCTGACTTTTCCACCTTCATTCCTCTTCACTTCCATTTCTTTGGTTCAGCTACTACATTGGTCATCACCCCACATTTACTCCCTGTAGAGAAGATGCCATTTCAAGCCACAGATGACTGTCGTGTTCGGCAGACTGGAGAGACAGGACCAACTAGTCTGCTGGAAATGTCATCCATTGATTAACAATCCTGATGTACAAGCAGTTCTGAAAGACAAATCCAATTATCATAGCTGAAAAATCCATACTTGTTATTTTACTGCTGATTACCCCATTATTGACAGCCATAAGTATGCTAAAATATGACATTTGGAAACAAATTGCTTTAAATTGTTTTTTTAACAGCAAATAAAATTGCTCTAGCAGTGAAATCAGTAATACAGAACATTCCTGCAAAATATGCTGGTCCTTTCAGTTTTTGTCTTGACTCAGCATTGATTCATTCTTCTACCAGATGTTTTGAATTCCCTTTAAGCACTGCACACACAACTCTGAGGGTGGATTTAAGATTGATAAGACTTCCACTATGTGTTAAACCCCATACTTTGAGACATTCAAATTATTGAGAGGGCTTTGAGACATTCAAGAAGTATGTACATGAGTTCTGCTTTCTAAAAGTTTACATTATAGTTGGGGCTTTCCTGGTAGCTCAGACAGTTAAGAATGCACCTGCAACGCAGGAGACCCAGGTTCAATCCCTGGGTTGGGAAGATCCCCTGGAGAAGAGAATGGCTACCCACTCAAGTATTCTTGCCTGGAGGATCTCATGGACAAAGGAGCCTGGTAGGCTACAGTCCCCATGGTCACAAAGAGTAGGCGAGAGACATGATTATACATGGAAAACTTCAGAGTAGTATAAGTATTTGGAAGAACAACCAAGGACCACCTTGGTAGAGATGTTAAATCTCATTGGGTTTTTAAGCCTCCTGTCATATTTTGTAAGGCTGTTAATGGTGTTTATCCTCTTATCTCTAGAGGCAAATCCATCTCTTGGTGGGTAGAAACACCCATCTTTCTAAAATTGCCTAGATGTACCATGCTGCACTATGCCTCCTCTGCTACCTGGCACACTCTTGTTACTTTAGAGATTACCTATCATAGCCTAGTACATGCAGCAGAGTCCGTGCTGTCTCTGTATTGCATGGAGTCTTCTATGTATACCTGCCACTTCATGGAGCGCCTCAAATCGGGTTGTTTATTACTTGTCGTCTCTCTCTGGGCTGTGAGATCCTTGGTGAGGACTGAGCCTTATTTACTCTCTACTCTTAAGACCTTGCCTGGTGTCTGGAATGGAGTTGATCCTCAGTGACTTTGATTTACACATTACTGCGCTGAACTGAAGTTGTGTATCCTGGCTTTAAAGCATTTATAGCCTAATCCAGAGGGAAGACATGTACACAAATAACTATCATCAGGAAGGAAAGGAAAACACAGTAATACCAGGCGGGATGCTTGGGCGGTGGGGGGGTGGGGTGCAGGGGGCGGCCGGGAGAGTTGAAGTAAAGGCACAGAAGGTTAAGTTTGGTGGAAATACAGCTGGTATAAAGGGGAAAGGTCTGGACTAGTGACGCCAAACAGCGAAGTGTGCGCTTGGTCATGTAGCCAGCAGGGAACCACGGAAGGTGTCCTGAGCTGGGGAGTGATGTGGATGGTGCCCTGTTTGAGAGAAATCGTTTCATCAAGGTGATTTGGAAAGAAAACAGACTAGATACTGCTAAAGTCATTCAGAGGATTTATTATTGTATTCCTCAGAAGTAATAAATAGTCTATAACTGAATGCTTGTAGTGGAGGCAGAACTTGATGGGGCTTTTGAAGAATTGGTAAATTTTAGGCAAATTGACACAATTGTCCATTAAAGAACACTTAAAATAGTTAATTATATGTGAAACACACTTAAAGAAAAAGCAGGATACAGATGTGTGTATGTGTATTTTATTTGCTAAATATAGACATTTTTGTGAATATAAAATATATACACTCTGTTCTGCTGTAGAATGAATAGTTATATGTTTAAAAAACTTCTTACTATTAAAACATCCATTGTTTCTTTAGGAGTAAGACATTTCTGAGGTAGATTGCTTCTTACATTCTTATCACTTTTACTTTCCACCCTTAAGATAAACCTTCACATTTCATACTGTGTATTTTTGGAGCAAAAAATTAAAATCTGTTGCAGCACAGTTCACTACCATGAAGTGTACACTAAAGAGCTTTTCAGAAATGGAGCCCTGCCATTCCAACAAGCAGCTGTAGATACCGATGTGCAAAACAGTGACTTCTATATAAAATACTGACTTCATATTAGTAGTGTATGATATAACCTGTAAGCTGCATATAAAAAGACTGTATTCCATAACTAACCAACTGCACTATTTCCCAGTGCCTCAAGCCTAGAAAAATAATGAGTTGAAGGGAAATTCTAAAAGCGGTTACCTCCTAACTAAGCAGGGCTTCCCAGGTGGTACTAGTGGTAAAGAATCTGCCTGCCAGTGCAGAAGACATAAAAGAGATGTGGGTTTGATCCCTGGGTCAGGAAGATCCCCTGGAGAAGGGCAAGGCAACCTGCTCCAGTATTCTTGCCACACTAACCCCGTGGACAGAGGAGCCTGGTGGGCTACAGTTCCACAGGGATCACAAAAGAGTTGTACATGACTGAAGCAACTTAGCCTGCACACACACACTGGATTATACTACTGTAAGGGATTCTTATATATATGCCCAATTTTATGATGTTGTTGTTGCTGTTTAGTCCTAAGTCACGTCCAGCTCTTTTGCAACCCCATGGACTGTAGCCCACCAGGTTCCTCTGTCCATGGGATTTCCCAGGCAAGAATGCTAGAGTAGGTTGCCATTTCCTTCTCCAGGAGATCTTCCCAATCCAGGGATCAAACCCGAGTCTCCTTCATTGGCAGGCAAATTCTTTACCACTGAGCCACCAGGGAAGCCAGTTTTATGGTGAGCACTCACTGTTTTTATAATCAGGAAAATAATAAAAGCATTATAAACTAGGAAGGAGGGAATGATAGCCACGTTAGCTGATTGGCATCAGCCCAAGCAAGCTGAAGAGGCAGCCGTTTATATCAGCATCTTCCCATGGCTGATAGATGGCTCAGCTGGTGCGGAAGGCCTGGGTTCAATCCCTGGGTTGGGAAGATCCCCTGGAGAAGGGAAATGCTACCCATTCCAGTATTCTGGCCTGGAGAATTCCATGAACTGTATAGTCCATGGGGTCGCAAAGAGTCGGACAGGACTGAGCGATTTTCACTTTCATTTTCGCTCAGGTACCATTTCATGGTTTAGATGAGTACATGTGGAGTGCAATCTTCATCACTAGGACCATCTATTTCTGTCATAGTCCTTGAGTTTTGCACAGTTTCATAAAGCACAATCTGGACAGTGAAAACCACATGTCTCATGTCCCCTCTTTCCCATCCTCACCGGGGTTCCGCCCCGTTCACCACCCGGGCTGTTGTTGCGCCCCTCCCCTGCCCCGCCTGCCATCCTCTCTGCTGTCCTGTCCAGTGTTGAGACTCTGGACTGTTGTAGAAGCGTGGCCATGGTTGTGCTGTCTGCCTAATGCCTTACAACAAAGAGTTCTTTCCACTCCTGGGGCGGTGACACAGCATATGCTGCAGCCAAACTGACCTTCTCCGCCTTGTTTCCAAATGCCTTGCACTTTCCCAGGGTTGTGCCTCCTCTTGGAATGACCTCTCCCTATGTCCCACATTCTCACATCCTGCCTCGCTTTGGAATATTTGCACCATGTTTTTATGCTCTTCCAGATGCTAATCTCTTTAGTTTCAGGATTGTGTCTTCTTCAGCTTTTATATCCACTACCCATGCCAAACTGAGGGCCTTTCATGTAGCAGGTGTTCGATTAATGTATATTGAAATTGAATTAAATCAATACCTGCAGGAACACTTTGACAAATCCAATTAGAGGAAATTATTGTTCTAGACATGTGGCCTAATTACAGTAAATTTTCTATAGTTTTCCTTCCAATTAGTTGATGTGTTTTGTTTTTTACAGTCTTTATAGAAATTCAGACAAATGCTTGTTCCTACCCAGACTCTATATCAGAAAAATAATTGTTAGAACAGAGGATCTTTTCTAACTGTAAGCTGTTATAGTTGTTTGAGCCTTGGTGTTTTTAAACCATTGCTTTTTAAAATTATTATATTATTAATAAAGTATTTTTAGAACAATTTTTGATTTACAGAAAAATTAAGAAAAGAGTAGGTTTCCATGTTATTCCTGTACCCTCTCAGACCTCTCCCACACAGTTTTCCATTTTCCCTATCATTAACATTGTAGCAGTTTATATAGAATGAAGCAGAGTACTGGGGATCAGTAGCATCTTAAGAGGAACTTATGAAGAGAAGAGAGGTAAAAGAAAAACCCGGGTAAAGTTGTCTCAAAACCCAGAAGAGAATGGGGTTGAGTGATTATCAGACACAGGCAAGGGACCAAACGCAGTGTCCACGAGTAATCACTGACACTGAGAGTTTAGAAATGACGTAAAGAGTTTCCTTTAGGTTCCTGATGTTAAGTGTAGGAAGATACTAAAACTGAGTCTCCAATACTTTGCCACCTGATGCAAAGAGCCACCTCGCTGGAAAAGAACCTGATGCTGGGAGAGATTGAAGGCAGGAGGAGAAGGGGATGACAGAGGATGAGATGTTGGATGGCATCACCGACTCAGTGGACGTGAGTTTGATCAAGCCCTGGGAGTTGGTGAAGGACAGGGAGGCCTGGTGTGCTGCAATCCATGGGGTCGCAAAGAGTCAGACACAACTGAGTGACTGAACAACAACAGCAGAGGAAGAAATCATCTGAGAAGTGAACCAGAGTGTGCTGAGGAATAAATTGGAGAACTTTGTAAGGAGAACTTTAAGAAAAGAGAAATGTATATGTGGGTGGTAAATACAGAATTGGGATCAAGGGAGATATTTTAACGAAATGGGAGAGAGGAGAGACCTTATCAGGTTTACTGATTGGGAGAAAGAGCTAATACAGAGGAAGGGATAGTGAAAAGCAAAGAAGGAGGATAGGAGTAACTTCCGGTTAACATTGGTCATCTGCTCCTCTTCTATTTACCCTTCTCACTGAGTTAGAAATACTGCATTTCTAAATGAAGTTTTTTGTCTTTTGCCCAACCTCCATTAGATTATAATCTTATGGAAGTTTAGGGTTGTGTCTCATTTTTTAGGTATTTTTTCTAGCATCTGGTACAACGTATATCACATAACAAACTTTTAATAATTAAATGAATGAATGAATTTCTAAGGGGTTGATAAAGATTGATGTGGCAGAGTTGGGAGCTTGGAGCCATAATAGAAACATAACAGGGGCAGAATTTAAAGGCCAGCTGGGGTTGGGGGTAAGAAGGACAGAAGGAAGTGACCAACAGTGACAGACACAGCAAGAAGTCTTCTACGATTTAAAAATGTTTTGCAGTCCCTGAAACATGAACTACAGGCTGCACTTTGCCTTTAAAAAAAAATGTAGAGAGAGGTGATTTGGAGCACACAGAAATTTATGTGTATTTTCATCATCAAAAGCCGTGATCTTATATCAGACTACATGTTAACAGAAAAATTAACGGTGTGGACCATTAATACAAGATACACTGAATGAGCAGATATATGCAGAAGATTCACAAAACAGCTGACAAATCCTGTACAATAGAACAACCATTCTAAGAGGAATTACTCACCATTTTAGAAGAAGATTGACTAAGGAAGAAATATAGGCATCCTTTAGTCTGTCTGTAAGGAATAGTACTAGTAGAACTAATGTAGAATAAAATTCAAAACAGCCCAAACTGATCAACATTAAAATTTATCATTAAATGAAGCATTTCTGGCTCATAAAATTGATCCAGGAAGAAATAGTCACAGAAAAATATTCCATGAAATGTAAAACTGACAGTGGTTAACACTATACACTGTAAAATTTACTATTGATTGAAAATTGACAGACAAATCTTAATAATATTTTCATCTTTAAATTGTTTTAGAAAAAATTGGACCTGGTAGAAGTAGTGACCACAGAAGCTTTGGAAAGATTATACAGACAAAGGAGCTGATTGATGTATCATATCTTTGCCGTAACATTTGCCTAGAAAAGAATTGGAACCAGTGATGGCAATTTTACTAAAATTACTATGAAAATGCAAAAACTGGGGATAAGTTTTAACTGAGATATGTAGAAAATTAAGTAAAGAATTGTCTTAATGGAAAGAGCCCTGGGAAATACTTTTTTCATGAAAATTCATCCATATTGAGATATTTCTGATTAAAATGTTTGGATAGAATCAGAACATCGGCAGAATAAAGAAGATAAGTAGAGCCAAAATATCCTTAATATTTGAACTCAGGTGGGACTCTCTAATGGTGCAAGAGACCTTAATTGTATGGTGTCAACCTGGTGGTGGCCACCAGGTCAGTCTAGCCTCTTGACAGTGGCAAAGAATGCCTGAGTGACAAAGGAAAGTGCCTCCCTTCCTAGGAAGCTTTGGCTCTTCATAAGTGCTTAATTTACTGACTGACTTGTCTTACATTATCTTGTCCCAAGAAAGAATTTAAAGCTGGTAAGAAAAAATAAAATACAAGATAAAACAAATTTTCAAATAAATGAGTAAAGAAATCATAGTTATGAGAATTATTCTGATATACCAATCTAGCAATACACCAGGAATTCATTACAACAATTTCTTTTTCCGTGTCTCTTTAACACTATTAATAGCTCCTTCCTGGGAGTGAAATATTAAAAATACTTCTTTGAAATTTCTTCCTAAACATGTTAATTCTAACCCATACCTAGATGTATTTAATTCAAAATTCAGCCTCAGTATAAAAGAGAGTTAGCTGCACAGTAGGGAAACAACAGGTCCAGCATTGAAAACTGACGTCCTGCAGGTGCCCACATCACCTGTCTGGTTTCCCACAGTGCTTTGGTCTGTGCCAGGGTCGACAGCAAACATCAGTGTTTGCTAGCATATGTCAAGATCTGATTCCCTTCTTCCATTGTATCTGAAATAGAAGAGCAAGAAAAAAACTGGAAATAAATATACCACAGTGTGAGGTGATTATAGAGATTTTTTAAAAGTTCTGGATGCTCTTGAGTTAAACAGCCTCGTTAATGGATGCCTGGTACACCAGAATGCTCTTCATAGATATTTATTCTCTATAAAACAGTGTAAAACCTACTTATCAAATGATTATTTTTATACTCCTATTCTGTGCAAAGTTCTGTGCTGGATACTGGGTATTTAGGGATGAGCAAAAAGTCAAGAATTCTGCCCTCACAAGCATCTGTTCTAATGAGAAGGAAGAGGGAAATTAGAAGTCAGAACAATCTAGAATTACAAATCATGATGAGGACTGTTAAAGAAAAAGGATGCAGAGCAAGAAGAGGAGCTGATGGGATAAGATGTGGATGGCTCGTGGGAGAAGTCTTCTCTGGGAAAGTATCGGTTAAGACAAAATCAGATGGATGATAGGGAACCAGCCAAGCGGGGTAGAAGAGAGCTTTCCAGGCAGAGGAAAGAGCAGGTGCAAAATTCAGGGCATCTTCTGGTCAGAGAGGAGTAGGGAGGACTTGGAGATCTTGCAGAGCCCAGTTGCTTACCCTGGCTAACAGGTGGAGAGGACTATTAGGAGGACAAGGGACACTGTGGACGTGGGACCCCAGTTCAAACATCCTTACAGTGTTAAAGTGAAATGTACTTGAGGCCACTGAGCTGTACACTTAAATTTTATATTATGTCTCCTTTACTATCACCGTGGACAGGAAGCAGATGTTCCCTAAGCATTTGTTTGTTCAGCTGCTAAATCATGTCCGACTCTTTGCGACCCCAGGAACTGCAGCACGCCAGGCTTCCCTGCCCTTCACCATCTCCTGGAGTTTGCTCAAACTCATGTCCATTTAGTCAGTGACGCCATCCAGCCATCTCATCCTCTGTCATCCCCTTCTCCTGCTGCCTTCAATCTTTCCCAACATCAAGGTCTTTTCCAGTGAGTTGACTCTTCACATCAGGTGGCCAAAGTATTAGAGCTTCAGCATCAGTCCTTCATATTCAGGGTTGATTTCCTTTAGGATTGACTGGTTTGATCTCCTTGCTGTCCAAGGGACTCTCAAGCATACACTGTCATGAATGCTGTTCCCTTCTCTTTCAGACCCACAGGAGCCCCCGGGAGCGCTGAGCAATACAATGTGGGAATGGTCGGCACGCACGGGCTGGAGACCTCTCATGCGGACACTTTCGGCAGCAGTATTTCAAGAGAAGGAACCTTGATGATAAGAGAAGTAAGTTGGTATAAAAACTCTGTAGAAGTGTGTTTCTTAATTGGTTTTTATATTAGAGCTTTCACAGAGGATGCTTACAGCATGTATTTTAGGGAATGAAGGGTGGGGGAGGGAGAAGGGCCCATGTTTCTAAATGGTTGGGTGATTTTAATTGGCCACCTTCCTTCCCACATCCTTCTGAGCTTTTGCAGTATGACTTTATCACATTAGTCCAGATTCTTCAGTGGAAGCTATGCAAATTGGAATATAGCATTTGAGCCTAAGGATATAAAACTGGAGACCCAGATGTTTCCTAGCACAGGAAAACAGAAACGAATGGTCTATTCAGATAGCATCAGTGGCCTTGCTGTGCCTCCTTCTCCCCACTCCAGGTTTTATCCTTGTGCATTTTATGTAGAAAATGCTCTCTGGTTCCAAAAAGGGTGATACCATCTCGTCCAGTCAAATGAACATTAAAGACTGTTAAGCTGTCCTGGTGAAGGAACAAAGAAATAAGCAGATGTACATTAAAAAAAAAATGTACCTTAGCGTTTTGAGTAATTTTGTTTTTTTTAAACTCTAGGAACATCATTTTGGGGGGGCAGGTGACACACGTTTCCTTTCACCTGCCCCTCCAGCATGCAGCTCATGCCCATTGTATCTGTGCTGACCAGAAAGGCCTGGACATGTTAGAATCCATCTTTTCTCATTTTTCACTCCACCATCACTGTGAGAGTTTAACAGCAGGTCTTTTCTTAGACGGAAATCAGTGGCTGGTGACGCTGGGCAAAAGTTACTTGACCTCGCCCTGAAGCCGTTTTGTCATCCATAAAATTCCATAAATAATAGTAAATGACTCACAAGATGATTGGGAGGATTCAATGAGCTAATTGCCTAGAAGCAGCCAATAAATGATACCTATTTTATTTCACTCTCTCCACAGCATCAGGCTCTCCTTTTCCTTGCTATCACTTCCCACTCTTCCTTTCTGAAACATAAACATATGTCATCTGTCATTCCCCTTCGTTAGCCAGGATTGATTAGAAAACACTAACCGCAGGCTTTGCTCTCCAAAAGAGGCAAAGGGCATCTCATTTTTGTAAGAAAGAAAGGAACTGTAGTTTTAGGATGAATAAGGCCTTTGAAATAATGATGAGCAGTAAAGCTATAACTAGAAGACTACTTCTCAAAGCAGATTTCTAGAATTTCATTTTATGGCCTTGCCGAATATTTCAAGTAGACTTTTAAAGAGCCCTTTCACGGAAGCCTGGAATGAAAAATGGACTTGGCTGCTGAAGTTGACATTGTGTCGTGCTGGCATATAAATCTCCCTGCGTGGTAAATGGATAATTTCAGTGGAAGTGTAGAGGGCTTCTCTCACTAGACCCCGTCACCGGGGAAAACGTAAGGGGAAATGTTCTAGAATGAGTTACTCTCTGACTCCAAATTAAAGGACTCCAATTTCTAATGTGGTTTCAGATTTGCTGGAACCTTTAGGACAAAGTCAATACCTTGACATGGTTATTTGGAGCCACATTTTGAGCTCAGTCACCATCCAAATGGCTCTGTAATATTTAAAGCATTCCAACACTACGACCGTAGCCAGTCACCTTGAAAATTGCGTTCACCAGTGTCATATATAAATTTGATCTATTGAGGACCCTATAATTTTTTTTGTCCTCTCGATTTCTAAATTCTACTCTTTCCAAGCATGGGCTTTTAAAATAACAACCTGAGTTGAAATCTATTTAAAATGTGTGTATTAAAAAGATAAATACAAATTAAAGTGTGACCGAGAGAGTAAGAAAGTAGAAACTCTTAATGGTTCAGTTCTGTAAGGTGAACGTCAAGGAGAATCACTCAACTCAGACTTCCCTAGTGGTCTAGTGGTTAAGAATCCACCTGTCAATGCAGGGGACACAGGTTCGATCCTTGGTCTGGGAAGATCCCACATGCCACAGGGCAGCTAAGCCCGTGTGCCACAACTACTGAGTCTGTGCTCTAGAGCCCTAGAGCTGAAACTACTGAGCCCAGATGCCCTAGAGCCCATTCTCTGCAACAAGAGAAGCCACTACAGTGAGAAGCCTGCATATCTCAACTGGAGAGCAGGCCCCGCTCTCCATAGCTAGAAAAATCCCCGCGCAGCACAGAAGACCCAGCAAGGTCAAAAATAAATTTTTTTTTAAAGAGAATCACTCAGCTCGTCCTTCTCATAGGACTGGACGAGATGGATCTGTAGGAATGCACTGGCTCCCCTCTCCATGGTCCTGTCAGAGATACAAATCCTGCTTGTAGCACACACCCCTGCTTTGCAGGTCTACCTTTCCCTCGCCTGCGACCCCATACGACCTTTCCTTGCTTTCTAGAACACCACCACACCATCTATCATCTGCCACTTTGTCTACGGGGGACCAGCTGCTGAAAGAGCTATTCTTGTTCCCAGCCCATTCTTCACCCCGAAGACCCCTGGGGTCTGGCTCAGCTTCCCTTCCTCCTGGAAACCTCTCCATGGGCCTCTGTCCACAGCACCTTCCTCATTACCCAGCTGGTATCTCTCCAGGGTCTGTCCATGCCCTGAACCAGGACACTGGCTTACCCGTGAAACTGTTTGGGTTATAAGTAATAGAAAAAAAAGAATCCACTTAAAACAACTTAAGAAAACATGGCAGGAGACTTCCCTGCAGGTCCAGTAGCTAAGACTGCACTCCCAGTGCAGGGGGTCCAGGTTTGATCCCTGGTCAGGGAACTCGATCCCATGGGCCCCAAGTAAGAGTTTGCACACCACAGCTAAAAATCCCGAGTGCTGCAACTGAGACCAGGCACAGCCAAATATATAAAATAAATTTTAAAAAGGAAAATAAAGGCTGAGCAGGTATCAAAGATTGGGAAATAAGGATTCAGGGGTATTTCCTAGAAGGAATCAAAAGCAGAGAATGAGTTGGGACCCTAAGTAGAGTTAGAATCAGAAACTGCAAAGGGATTAGGAGCTCGGGCAGCTTCTCATGGGCTGGTCTCCGGCCCTCTTGCCGTCTGTCTCTCTTTATCCTTATCTCTGTTCCCTCCACTTTCTCCCTTGTTCTTTCTCTCCACATAGCAGGTTTCCCTTCTGCAATCTTGTGCTCTGACCTCTCCCCACCCTACCCCCCCCCCACCAATATTGCAAGGTGTTCACCACATCCCAGTTCAGCTGCCCAACAGAGACTGACTGATATCTCTCAGACTAACTGGAAATTCAGTGGGAGTCTGGTTGTAGTTAGCTCAGGTGTCCTGGTCCAGTCGATCAGCTGTGGCCAAGAGCAGAGCCACCCAGGACAGCAGTGGCCAGACCACCCAGGCTTTGCTGCAACACAGCCTCGGTTCTGACCTTGATTTCACCACTTACAGCCCGTGTTACTTGGGAAGTTAATTGAATTCTTTACACTGAAGTTTTTCCATCTGTAAAACGGTGATAATGGAAACTAGCTCTTGGTGGTACTGTAAGGATATGAACCTAAAGTGTTTATTTAGCACAGTACCCGGCATATAGGGATACTCAGAACACTCCAGTGCCCACCCCATGGCACTAGTGAACGCATGAAGAATTAGTTGGGACTCTTTTAATGAAATCCTAGAGGACAGAGCTGCTGGTCATTTATCTTCATGTTCCCAGCAGAATGTGTGGCACACAGAAGGTGTTTAATTCTAAGAGAGTACTGGTTGAACGCACAAAAAGGGTGACGACTCAGAAGTGGGAAGACTCAGGGGTCACCGCTAAATTCCTTGAGGCTTCTCAGTGTCTGCACCATTTCTCTTGTGAGACTCCTCCAGTCTTTCTTTTATAACCAGTATGTCTGCATTCAGTTTTGGCTTGAGGCGGAACGCTGCTGATCCAAGAGAAACCACAAAACTCTAAAGAGACAGTGTGTGATTTATGCTACTCGAAAGTTGTGGGGAAAACAGTGAAAAGCTGTTCAGTATTACAACAGGACGGAGGAGCTGCTCAGGACACATAAAATAGGAGACGATAAAGTAAATTAGGACTGAACCCCTTAAATGTCATTTAACAGATGAGATGTTCAGATGAGCACTATGACAAAATGAGTCCAGAAAATGCCCCTCTCCTGAACAGTCAGGGGCCAGGAGCACTGTGCCAGGAGACACGGAGGACACTAGGCTTTCCAGTTATTTCTCAGGCTTCCTGGTAATGTCAATTACATGCACCCCATCAGGAACTTAGGAGTCTTTCGTCTAACCCCCAAAGGGCCTCCTTTGACTTTAGCCAGAGGCAGGTGCAGAGCTTTAATTGCAAGATCGGGACAGGCTCCAGAAGGAAGGAGCACCAACTCTTGACCATGCCAGGCCCAGACAAGGCAGGAAGTGTACCTGCCGTGAAATGCTCCACACTTAGTGGATACTCAGAAATATCGGACAAATGAATGAAAAAAAAAGAAAAGTCAAAGAAGGGAATCATTACTCAGATTAGGTCTCCTGTGAGAAACCTCAGTGAGCCAGCCACATAAATGTTAAGTTAGAAAGTATGGTCCTGGACAGGACGACAGTGTGGGCACTGGCTTTCTGGGAGCAGAATTTTCTTGTAACTCTGTGTTTCTTTCCTAAAATTTTTGGGAGGAGGCTCTGCCCTCCAGGGCAGTGATTTCCAACCTGTTAGGTTATGCAGCCCTGTCAGTAAGAAATCCAGGGAATGCCACATAACACAGTGTATTTATTTATTTACAAATCATGCATTTATCCTTTGGCACTAACATAGTATATATATTACAAAGTACCTTTAAAGGACATTGAAAAGGGGAAACTGCAGGCCACCCTTCCCTTCATGACTGCATTTATGCTGAGTCAGCACAGTCTTTCCCAGCTGTTCTGGGAAGGGGAAGAGAGGAGACGGGTAGGCTGGCGGCGGGGGGCAGGGATTGGTACAAGGACCTAGCCGGAAATGGGAGAGATCTCCTGGATCTTCGCGGGGAAGTTTGGGCCCCTGCGGGAGGACTGACCCAGCTGATAACTTAGTGGCCCAGAGTCACTCCCTGGTTCCCAGGCCTCTGAGGAAGACTTTTCTTGGAGCACAGATTCCTCAAGGGCCTGACTGGTGCGGGCAGAAGGGCCCCCGCCTGCCCAGTCCAGAGCTGGCAGGGGTGTCCAGCCAAAGCAGACACATGGCCAGGCTCTGCTGCCTTCATCATCTTGGCCTGTGTGATCTTGGACTGCTTATTTAACATCTCTGAACTGCGGTTAATAAATGAGATAATACTTGGGGGGGGTGGGAATGGATGCTATAAACAGTACTTCAGATGCATTGCTGGTCATGAGTTCATATTTTAAAAAAGTTGTATTGGAGTATAGTTGATTTACTATGTTATGTTAGTTTCAGGTATATAGCATAGTGAATCAGTTATACATTTACATATATCCACTCTTTTTTTCTTCAGATTCTTTTCCCATTAAGGCCATTACAGAGTATTGAATAGAGTTCCCTGCGCTATACAGTAGGTCCTTATTAGTTATGTATTCTGTATAAACTCGTGTGTATATGGTGTTCTCAATCTCTCAATTTATCCCTCCCCCATCTTTTCCCCTGGTAACCATAAGTTTATTTTCTACATCTGTGAGTTGATTTCTCTCTCTCTTTTTTTTTTTTTTTTACCAGTTCCTGGCACAAGGCACCACAGTTGCTTACTGAGAGATTCAACATTAGTGATAGTGGATGTAAAGCCGTATTTTCAAATTATCTTTATAGATTACTTCCGTGTTTTCTTTGTAACTCCCATCAGCTATGATTAGTTAATCATTGGTTTGACCTCAGGGCTGACCAAGCAGACTATGAGTTGGGAATCATCTCTGCATTTTCTTGGAGTACCCTAGGCGTGGATTATTAGTGTTATCTCAGACTACTGCTTCTCTTCAGAGATGTTTTAGGTCACGTTATTGTTTTTCATTTATGTCATTGTAACCTCGTGATGTGATCTGGTGTGCACATGCAGACACAGTGCAGAAGAGGAACATCATGTATGGTCCCCACCAAGCCCTGCTCCACAGTCCACCCGTGGCATTACTGTCTTCCCACAGGGCACCCCCACATCATATGTGCCCCCTGACTGCCCCTCGTGCAGGAGTATAATGCCCTGGGCTCAATCCGTGTACTAAATAGTAGCAACCTTAACCTTTCTCTTAGATGAAACTGAAATCTGAGTGTCTTCCCACGCCCCCATGGGACGGTCTGCAGGCCACTGTGCCTGAGCTGTGAGGGTGATGTCACTCTTTGTGTTGTGCGCCCCCCCAGCCGTCCGGAGAGAAGAAGCGACCGGGCCACAGTGACAGCAATGGCTTTGCCGGCCACATCAACCTCCCGGACCTGGTGCAGCAGAGCCATTCCCCCGCGGGGACCCCCACCGAGGGCCTGGGGCGCGTCTCCACCCACCCCCAGGAGATGGACGCCGGGACTGAAGTAGGTGCTGGGCAGGAGCCACAAGAGCTGTGTTCTCATTTGGAGAGTCTGAGACCCTGGTTTCCTCAAGAAGGAGGTTTTGACAAGCTCCCAGAAACCTGTTTGGTTGGGTTCTGCAGACTTCCCAGGTGGCGCAATGACAAAGAATCCACCTGCCAATGCAGGAGACCCAGGTTCGATTCCTGGGTCGGGAAGATCCCCTGGAGAAGGGAATGGCTCCCCATTCCAGTTTTCTTGCCTGGAGAATCTCCATAGGCAGAGGAGCTTGGCAGGCTACAGACCACGGGGTCACAAACATTTGGACATGACTGAGCAACTGAGCACATGTAACTATTTATGCATACACTCAGATGAAGGCAGTGTTAGAAGCAGAGCAGTGAAAAGCTCACAGGTAGCAGCTGAACCAATACCTGTTTTTACAGATGAGAATACTGAGGCTCAGAGAGGTTAAGTACCTTGCCCAAGGCACACAGCTGGTTTGTGACAGAACTGGGACCTCCTGTCTCTCCACTGGTAAAGAATCCGCCTGCAATGCTGGAGACCCTGGTTTGATTCCTGGGTCAGGAAGGTCCCCTGGAGAAGGGATAGGCTATCCACTCCAGTATTCTTGGGCTTCCTTGGTGGCTCAGATGGTAAAGAATCCACTGCAATGCGGGAGACCTGGGTTCAATCCTTGGGTTGGGAAGATCCCCTGGAGGAGGGCATGGCAACCCACTCCAGTATTCTTGCCTGGAGAATCCCATGGACAGAGGAACCTGGCAGGTTGCAGTCCATAGGGTCTCAAAGAGTCAGACATGACTGAGCAACTAAGCACGTCTCTCAAGCTAGGGATGAAAACTTCAGCCTGTAGAGATTCCAAGGCCAACAACTGAGGTTCATATTTACATTAACCTAGTCAAACTAAATTTGACTTAGATGAAACAAGGTTGAAATGATTTGTTTATGAAAAGTAGATACATCCCCAAAGTGTTCATCTTCCTAAACTCCAAATCACACAAGAAAGGGAAAAATGGGATATTATCTTTCCTCTGCAGAAAGGAGTCTGGGAAAAAAGCCAAAATAAAAGTAGTCTGTTGGGCAGTGCTTATGCATGTCCTTGACCGAGCAGGTTGGATGAGGTCATGGTGCTTGGTCATGTTTCATGAATGAATAGTCCTGTGAATCACCATAGACTCTACATATATTTATAAAGCATATGCACTGCAGTTTTTGATGTTGTCCACATGCTGTGTTTTTATAATGCACCATTTGGATTCGAAAGTTATAGAGCAGATGAACTTTATTTGTTGCAGGGAAAAGAACACGGAGCATTCTACTAATATTACAGCTTCATGCACCGTGGACAGGTTTTTCCTATCTGAACACTTCTTTGGGTACCAAGGAGGATTCTGTGTGGTTGGACTCTGCTTAAAATTCTGCTGCTTCCCCAGCTCTAAGTGGGAGTGTTGATACTTGCCACACCTCCTTCACAGACTTCTAAAGATTGAAGGAGAGGATGTCTGTGAAAGTGCTCTGTTTGGCAGGGGGAATCCTACCTTGTGAAGGATGAAATGGTTTTGATTCATAACGTGAAGGGGAAATCTTGAATTACACTGGGTTTTTGTGGTTTTCTCTTTATGTGTTTAGGGGTCTTGGGATACAGGTTTTATTTTTACATAAAACCTTTTTAAAAAATGAAAACTTAAAGACATTTATCCCCCAAAAAGATGCTTCTTATGTTCATGGTTGAGGTTCATATTTATATTAATTTAGATGAAATAAGATTGAAGTGATTTGCTTATGAAAAATAAAAATAAATACATTCTCAAAGTATTCATCTTCCTAGACTCCAAATTACACAAGAAAGGGAAATCTGTTGGTGATATTGAAAGGATTTGACAATAATAGACAAAATGAGGAGATGGTATTGAAACTCCTTTAGCAAAAGTCAAATGTGGAATATCGTGACGTGAAGCCTTGAAAGTTTAGTGTCTCCTAGTCTATTTCTGATTTCATAGTCGAACAGTGCTATCCAGGCCCTTTGGGTTATTTTTTAAGTAAGCTGTCGAGGTGCCTGCAAACCTAATATCTTCATGAGGTCCCTAGATAGAGCATATAAATATGTGTTGTTTTAAGGAAACCATCATGGGAAGGAAAAGAGTCTTTAGTCCCTGGAAGAAATTGTCTCTGTATTACAGATTTTAAGGCTTCTTGAGTCAACACCAGCCCACCTGCATCACCAGGCCAGCATGAAAGGCCTCAAACGGGCCAGGAGGGAGTCGAGTAGCTTGAGTGTCTAGGATGAAGTGCTGCTATGTTCACATGCTTACTTAACTCATTGCCAGTTTGTCTACTTTTCTTAAGACTACTTAGTGCGAGGTTGCTTTTACTTGGAGAGAGTGATAATCTCTCTGTCACCACAGCTATCTTACCAGATACTAAGGTGCCACATGTGGTACATAATGTCATTTGCTCACTGCAGCTCTTGCAATCTGTTAATTCACGAACTCCTACCAAGATCCAGTGGTTAGTGAGGAACCAATACCAGGAGAAGCTAGAGAGAGAACCATACCCTTTGACTTGGTGGTTAGGGTGTATACAGTTGGGTAGTTTGAAGAGTCTCTAGTAAGCTTCCCTTGTGGCTCAGCTGGTAAAGAATCCGCCTGCAATGCAGTAGACCTGGGTTCAGTCCCTGGGTTGGGAAGATCCCCTGGAAAAGGTGAAGGCTACCCACTCCAGTATTCTGGCCTGGAGAATTTCGTGGACTATACAGTCGATGGGGTCCCAAAGAGTTGGACACAACTGAGCGACTTTCACTTTCATTTAGTAATTTTAAAGCCCAAGCAGAGTATTGTTAGCGTTGTTGGTTGCTGTGGTATTTACCTATCTGCTCTTCTTAATCTTCTTGCTTATTGACTAGTATGGCCTGGGGAGCAGCACCAAAGCCTCCTTCACCCCCTTTGTGGACCCCAGGGTATACCAGACGTCTCCCACTGATGAAGATGAAGAGGATGAGGAATCATCAGCTGCGGGTAAGTTAGAAGTCCCCGATGTTTTAGAAACAGCTTGCTTTTCCATTCTGATATGGCCTGATTAAAAAAATTAATTTTTCATTCAGTAGTTAAGCCATTAGCTGCTTAGGCCCTGTCTTAAAAGGAAGACTTTTTATTTTTTTATAGGATTCCTCAAAGTTCTGGTTTGGTTTTTGTTTTTTTTTTTTTTTTTTTTCACCTTTTCTGTTTTGATTCTGGTAGGAACCCAGAGGTATCCAGGGGCCCTGGGAAAAGCTGTTCCTCCGAGATCTCCAAACTCACCACCTATTTCTCAAAAGCAGTTTCTGGGTACAATGCTGTGCACGCAGTAGAAACTTAATAAATGCGTGTTGAGTTGTGTTGAGTTCTAGGTGTGTGCTTCCCACTGCAAAAGTCTGGCTGATTTAGAGGAGAGTCTTGCTTTCTAGAATTCTGCAACTCACTAATCATCAGACTCACCTTAGGCCAGTTTGTCGATGGATAACGTGGCATTTCAAAAAGTAAATCTTTCCAGCATATATAACAGGAGATGGGGATGGTATATTTAATTTTATGAGATGACTATTAATTCCTTCAACTGCTCAAGTAGAGTCTATAAACCCATTTTACTAATAGATAAAATCTGCTTTTATGAATGACTTGTACTTGATTCTACTAAAAAAGTGTAAAATATTTATAGTTTCAGCATTTCTTTGCCTTTACTATAAAGCCTACTAAACAAGGAAAAACCCTAGTGTTTTGAAGCCCCTTCTCCATGTCTCCATTGGTTTATATTTCAAGATGCCACTGATTTCTTTGATTCTTTTTCTCAAAGCTCTGTTTACTAGCGAACTTCTTAGGCAAGAACAGGCCAAACTAAATGAAGCAAGAAAGATTTCAGTGGTGAACGTAAACCCAACCAACATTCGGCCTCATAGTGACACACCAGAGATCAGAAAATATAAGAAGCGATTCAATTCAGAAATACTTTGTGCAGCTCTGTGGGGTAAGTTGGTGCTTGTAACATTCATTAATGGATTGAAGAGAAATCTTACCATCAGAGGAGTGTTGATTCAGTCTTACTAAGTTAGAGACCTGACTTGGGACTATCTTGGCCTCAGGAAAGATCAAGAGCAATTTTATATTTAGGAAGAACTGATATACTCAGGATAACCTGAGTTATCAGGAGATCCAAAATGATCTTGTCGCCCAACAGGGATGGGCTTAAACCAACAACAGACCTAGCTCCCACTTAATACTCACCTACCTTATGCCCGGCACAGTGTGAGCATATGTGAGAGGTGAGAGAACTAGGAATCACTGCATGAATATGAGTGGGGTGAACCTTGGCGAGGTCTCAAGGTGGGAGTCACTGAGAGAGCCAAGAAAAGGGTGGGTGTCACAGGAAAGGAATAAAGGCAGATTGTGCTGGCACCACAGCCATGCCTCAGGCTCCTCTCAAGAACACTATTCTAGGAGGTAGAGCAGCTTCATGTAATGAATGCTGCTACCACTTTATAAAAGAACACTAATTTCATTATTAGAGCAACAATGATTTAATTACTATCTCAGAGCTTCTACTTCTACACTCCCTACTGTGGTATGCCTACTTGCTCACTAGTTTATATTTACAAGGTACAGCTCTTAGGCTTTGCAGGGACCCCAGACACAGGAGAGTAAAGCCTGTCAGAGTCAGTCTGGGGACCCTTCTTAAATTTGCAGGTGTAAACCTCCTGGTGGGAACCGAAAATGGCCTGATGCTTTTGGACCGAAGTGGGCAAGGCAAAGTTTATAATCTGATCAACCGGAGGCGATTTCAGCAAATGGATGTGCTCGAGGGACTGAATGTCCTCGTGACAATATCAGGTATGTTGTGAGATGACCAGATCTGCATGGGTGGGAAAGGCGATCGCCTCGCTTCTGAAGGAATAGTAAGCTCTGCTCATCCCACCAGCAAGTGGCATAGTGAATTGACAGTGCAGTGAGTGATACCACCCACATTTTCTAACTCTGGAGATTCTGACCTTCAAAGGGAAGTCTCTCACCTCTGCCTAAAATCTGAATCAGACAGAGACGTGACAGCTGTGTGCTTATGGGGCTTTATCCCTACTGGGACTCAGCAAGGATCTTTTTAAGGTGTCTGCAACTCCAATCACCACTGTCTGTTCTCAGAAGGAGAATATAAAAATGTAGGCTTCTGGGAGTGAGAACTTTTATAAGGAGAAATTTCTCTGGTCTCTTTTCTTGTAAGAACTGCTTTAGCTTATAGTTCACAGATGCTTTAGCAAGTGCTGCTGGCCCATAGGTGATTGCATCTGTGAGGAGATTTGACTGTAGGAATCATTATTGCTACACTCTGCAGCTTTCTGGTTCCCAAAAAGAGCCTTAAGAAAGATGGAGACAGGGACTTCCCTGATGTTCCAGTGGTTCATCTTGCATTAATGGAGAGCAATCTGTAAAAATACTGAATCTCTATGTGGTGCACTGAAGCCAATATAATATTGTAAATCAACTATATTTCAATAAAAATAATACAATGAATCAATGTGGAGAAACAAATAGAAAAAAGAATTCATCTTGCAATGCAGGAAATTTAGGTTTCAATCCCTGGTCAGGGAATTAAGATCCCATATGCTGTGGAGCAACTAAGCCCATGTGCTACAACTACTGAGCCCATGTGCTACAAGTACTGAGTCCAGGTGCTATAAGTACTGAGCCCAGGTGCTGTAAGTACTGAACCCATGTGCTACAAGTACTGAGCCCATGTGCTGCAAGTACTGAGCCCATGTGCTACAACTAGAGAGTCCGTGCCCCACAACCAAAGGTCCCACATGATGCAACTAAGACCCGACGCAGCAAGTAAATAAATAAAAAATATGGAGATGATAGTGAAGGCCTTACTACTGACAGGTTAAAAATGTAACCTGAAAGACCTTATGTCTGTTGAAAGTTTTTCCTTGCAGATGGTGTTTGAAGGGGTTTGATAAATAATGCCCCTCTTGCCCCCTCCCATCCCCTCCAGTATGAAACCACCTGTACCCCTGCACATTAGAACCCCCTGAGGAGATGTGAAAAATCTAGGATGTGACCCACACTAGTGGGTCAGAGTCTGGGATGTGGCCCGGGTCACAGAGGCTTTGGTAGCTCTTGACGTGTCTCCACTGTGCAGCCAAGCTTGAGAACCAGCCTCTGTTTCTCAAAGAGACACATTGGGTTCGCCCTGGGTTGAGTCTTAAATAGGGTTTAGCTCTCACGCTATGCTTCTGTTTTGAGAAGATGCCTTCACGAGATGCCACGGTTCTGTCTGTCTTTTACCTTTCCACTGAATGCTCAGAGTTTCATCTCTTTTTATTCTCCCCAAACAAAGGTTAACCAAGTAAATTCTTCTTATGTTATCATTTAATTCACTATAGTCCTTTATTTGGGCTTTGCTAGTGGCTCAGATGGTAAAGAATCTACCTGCAGTGCAGGAGACCCAGGTTCAGTTCCTGGGTTGGGAAGATCTCCTGAAGAAGGGAATGGCAACCCACTCAAGTATCCTTGCCTGGAAAATCCCATGGACAGAGGAATCTGGCAGGCTACAGTCCATGGGATTGGAAAGAGTAGGACACGACTGATGGTCTAACACAGTCCTTTATTGTGGGCAATGAGTTCTTGATTGCTACACCCCCAAATCAAATTTACAGCCATACATCTGCCAGACACCTACCAAAAGGGGAAATGATATCAGAAAATTCATGTTCAAGCTTCTTTATGTGACGCATCATTTTTAAAAGTGTATCATGAAGCACATGGATAGGGAAAGAAGAAAATATGAGCCAAAGTTTCTTGAAGTGCCCTCTCATCTGGGTTGGCACAGAGAAAGAAAAAGCACCAGTCTCCTGCCCATCCTGGCTATTGTGATCAATGCATACTCAAGGCTTTCAACTGTAAAGAGGAATAATAACTGCACAGTGGTTCCCTTAATTTCAGTAATAAAGATATTCTTCTGTCAAATCCAGTGTGCAATGTTTTAATGAATTCTCCTCCTCTGTTATATATCACATCTGCAAAACGTATTTTTAACAAGACATCAAAGGAAAAGTAAGTATCCAAGAAGTGGGTAAATTTCTGATCACTTAGAAAAAGTCACCCCAAAGGACAGTTTCTTATCTGGTATTTAGATACTCTCAGATGGTTGATTAAATTTAGCTTTTGTATATGCCTCAATGTTTTTAAGGTGTTTTCTTGTCATCCTAAGAATTCTTTACTCCAGGATTACTTTGCCAACATTTCCCAAAGGGAATTGTACATTTTTGCACAAGTACACATCTTTTTCTCCATTCTTATTTCTGTTTGGTACTTCTTTCAGGGATCTCAGCACCATAAACTCTTCCAGGGTTATTTTCTGAGCCCAGATTGCCTTCACTGAACTTGTTTCTTATATCCTTATGCAATGCCTTTTTCTGTTTAGCAAAATGAAACTACGACCAGCTGTCATCTTTAAAGTAAGAGAGGAGGCGAATAAGAGGCTCTGCATTAACATATGGTGTGTTGGGTAGAAGATGAGGAAAAGGCAGTCACACCTGAGTATGCCAAAATGTCCGTCAACACTCCTTCGTGTAATTAGACCTGGAATGTTTTGGAATGCTGATCAACTGTTCTGTTACAGAATTAGGTCTTACTGAGCAGACATTGCCCTTTGCATTGGGAAGAGTGAATAAGAGTAGCTTGCTCAAATAAGAGACCACCAGGGACCACCCCTGGTGGTCCAGCACCTAAGACTTCATGCTCCCAATGCAGGGGGCCCAGGTTCAATCCCTGGCAGGGTAACTAGATCCCACACGCCACACCTGGCAGAGCCAAATAAATTTAAATTAATTTAATAAATAAATATTTTAAAAAATGAAGTTTATGTGAAAGAAAAAAAAAGTAAAAAGTGGTTGTTGTTCTTCAGTCACTAAGTCATGTCTGACTCTTTGTGACCCTGTGGACTACAGCACACCAGTCCTCTGTCCTCCACTGTCTCCTGGTGTTTGCTCAATTTCATGTCCGTTGAGTCACTGATGCTGTCTAACCATCTCATCCTCTGCTGCCCTCTTCTCCTTTTGCCTTCAGGCTTTCCCAGCATCAGAGTCTTTTCTGGTGAGTTAGCACTTCACATCAGGTGGCCAAATTATACAATGATTATTTGCCCAAAACACTTAAGCCTGTTTTAATCATAAGTTCTGGCAGATGCAATACTTTGATGATGCTGGAGACACTGGTTATTATGCCTTCACACATGCACACAATTGTAAATAAAAATAAAATGGAGATGGGGAAGGATTAAGAGAAAAAGCTGTCTCCAGACCTTGAAATTAAAGCTCTGTTATTTTAACAGGAAAGAAGAATAAGTTACGAGTTTACTATCTTTCATGGTTAAGAAACAGAATACTACACAATGACCCAGAAGTAGAAAAGAAACAAGGCTGGATCACTGTGGGAGACTTGGAAGGCTGTATACATTACAAAGTTGGTAAGTCTCAAGATGTGGAATTGTTTGCTCAATCCAAATTATTCAGCTAAGTTTCATTCAGTTTTTTTCTATCAGATACTGGTGATGCATCTGTGACCAGTTTAAGACACTGCTGGAACTTTAAATATACTTGCATTATTTCCCCAAAGGTCATATTGATGAAGTTCAAAGACTGCATTCAGAATAAAGTCCTAGGCTTCAGTTTGACTTCCTCCCAAAGACCCATTAAAATGACAATAAAAGAATAAAAATGCTGTCAACCCACAAGGACAAAGGGACCAGGAGAAGACAAACCAGATAACAAGAGATGTCAACAAATTGAACAAGAGTAGTTAGATGACTTGGAATAGACCTAAGTGATCAGGAAATGCTGAATTCTAAGCCTGCTCTGAGGAAAGTCATCAAAATCAACCCAGTCACTCAACAGAATCCAAAAAGGCCTAGGACCTGAGGCCCCAGGTGTATTTGAGGTGGAGGTGAGGGTGGGACTAAAAATGGGAGGATTGTTGGAAAGCTTATGAACAGCAAATCCTACAGAACTCAACCAGGCAGCCACCCTCCCTGACTGCAGCAGAAGATGAAAGGTGGGCACAGCCAATCTCTTGATGGGGAATAATGAATTATGAGGACACAGTAATACACACACACACCTTCTTATCCTGCTTGGCTCCCAAATGTTGCCAGTCATGCTTATATCCCCAAGCAAGAGATTGAATGATTGCCTTTAGGTTAGCTAAATGGCCAGAAAGAAAAGATGTTCAGGTACTAATATTTGACATATTGTGAAAAGAGCATGCTATCTAACCACCTTAAAAGTGAAGCCCATCAGTTGATAAGCCCACAATAGCATACAGTGGGGAAATCCGCTAATAGGAAGGAAACTTAGAAAGAAGGGACTTTAGAGGAAACAAGGATAAAGAAGAGTGAAACCAAAAAAAAATTTTTTTTAAGAAACTATAATAACTTCAAGGAGATTAGAAATACCATTTCCATAAAAGAATAGGGTTTTTAAAAAAAGAAGATAAAAGAAAGTTGGAGAATGTCATTCAGAGAACAAGGAAAACACCTTGGAAATTAAAATATATAAGCAGGAATAAAAAGTATAATAAAAGGGTTGGAAGATAAAGATGAGAAATGTCCTAGAAAGTGGGATGAAAAGAAAAAGGAGAGGATGGGTAAGAGAACAAAAAGATTGAATCCAAGTGGTTCAAAATCTAAGTTACATGAGTTTTAGGGAAAAGAGAAATTAAGAAATGGAAGGGGAAGAAGGCATCAAAGAAGAAATACAAGAAAAGTTTCTAGAATTAAGACCTCAAAAATCTCCAAATAAAAAGATTCACTGAGTACCCAGTATATGAAAATGAATGAAATACTGAAAAATGAGTGAAAAAAGACTTAATGAGAAGACACAGCACAACAACATGAGATTTCAGTACCCAGGAAGTGAGAAGGCTCTTAAAGCTTTCAAATTACAAGTAAATAATTCCTTGGTGGTCCAGTGGTTGGGGCTCCACGCTCTCACTGCCAAAGGTCTGGTTTTGACCTCTGGTCAGGGAACTAAGATCCCACAAGCTGCACTGTGCAACCATAAATAAATAATAAGTAAATAGTTTACATATAATAGACCCAGAATTAGATGGCCTGGGACTTATAGCAATGCTGGAAGATTAGAAGACAATGGGGCAAGGCCTTCAAAGTTCTAAAGGAAACATTTTTTTCACTTAGTAATTTATAACCCATCTGTATTAGCCAGAGTTCTCCGGAGAAACAAAACCAGTTTGTGTGTGTGGAGAGAGAGAGAGAAATTAGTCCAAGCAGAGTGGGACAATGGAGGGTTCAGGAAGAGGTACTTCCAAGAAAAAAAAATGTTACTAATAGATTACCTGCCATATTTGACTGTATTAAAGGCATTTATAACACTAACAGAAAGTTTCCATGTGCTTAGAGATAGATGCATAAGAAATAGGAAGTGGAAAAAATTCGGGAAAACAAGAAAGGAGTTATAATAAGGGTATACCACATGTCTCATCTATGAACAGTAATGATTTTAGCAAAAGATATTGACTTAACCAGATATTGTAACTATAAGTGTGTTGGAGACGTGAGGGAAGAAGAAATGGGTACATTTGAGAGAGAGAGAACTAGAGAGAGGGGGCGGTGATAAGAGACAAGATCCTTTCCAGGCTCCAGAGTCAGTAGCTAATATCAGATAATATCCACAACTGAAAAAAATTAAATAACATTATTAGCTAAATAACATCATTTAGCTAAATAACATTATTAGCATGTCATTGAGAAATACAGAAGTGAATTGCGGAAGAAGTAGTTGAAAGTATATTAAAGACAGAATATGGAGAGGTATGCTATAGAAAAAGAATTCAAAGAGCAAGAATTTGGTCAGTTATCCTGGGCTGATTTCTTTAGGATAGAATACTCTTGAGTGTTCAAACATTTTATAAAAGATAAAATAAAACAACTGCTGGGACTTCCCTGGTGGTCCAGCAGTTAAGAATTCACCTTCCACAGCAATGGAGAAGCCGACATAGAGAACAGATTTATGGACACAGTGGGTGGGGGAAGAAGGAGAGGGTGATGTGTATGAAGAGAGTGACATGAAAACTTACATTACCATGTGTAAAATAGATAGATCCCAATGGGACTTTGGTGTATGATTCAAAGAACTCAAAGAGGGGCTCTGTATCAACCTAGAGGGGTGGGATGAGGAGGGAGATGGGAGGGAGGTTGAAGAGGGAGGGGTATACATATACCTATGGCTGATTCATGTTGATATTTGCAGAAAACAGCAGAATTCTGTAAGCAGTTATCCTTCAATTAAAAATAAATTTTTAAAAAAAGAATCCGCCTTCCAATGCAAGGGGCACAGGTCCCATCCCTGGTTGGGAAACTGAGAACCCACATACCACGCCGTGTGGCCAGTAAATAATTAAAACAACTCTCTGTGTATTGTCTTAGTCTGTTCAAGATGCTGTAACAGAATATGACAGGCTCGGTGGTTTATAAACAACAGGAGTTTATTTCTCAAAGCTCTAGAGGCTGTAAAGCTCAAGATCAAAGTGCTGTCAGAGTCAGTGTCTGATGAGAGCCTGCTTTCTGGATCATAGAAAGTTGTCTTTTTGTTACAACCTCACATAGTCGGAAGGGAGAGGTATCTCTCTGGGGTCTCTTGTTAAGGGCACTAGTCCCTTTTAAATTTCCAATAACTGGAATCCAAGTTTGAATAATATGCAAACGGCAGACATTATATCTCTACCCATTTGTTGGTTCTTCTGCCATCTTGCCATACCAGCTCTCAGCTGCTTACATGTGAGTGAACATAAAAGCCAAGCAAGGAAACCTGAAGGATTTTTATACAGATTCTTCTTACTTTAAGTAATTCACATCTAGACTTGGTGGTGAGAGACAGTCCTAACCAGTTACATCTTTAGATAGAGCTTTCAGCAGGAAGCAAAAGGCCCCAGGTATTCTGCAGGCAAGTTCACTAAAGGAGTTAAATACATACCTGTAAGAATATCCCACACCAGAGAACTGCAATGTGGGAGACCTAGGTTCAGTCCCTGGCTTGGGAAGATCCCCTGGAGAAGGGAAAGGCTACCCATTCCAGTATTCTGGCCTGGAGAATTCTGTGGGCTGTGTAGTCCCTGGGAAAGCAAAGAGTTGGACATGACTGAGCAAGTTTCACTTTCAAGAACATCCCACACCAGAGCACCGCCCTCAATCAGGGTGATATATAGTGATGTGTGTGTGCGTGCATGCCTGCTCAGTGGTGTCTGATTCTTTGTGACCCCCGTGGACTGTAGGCCACCAGGCTCCTCTGTCCATGGGATTCTCCAGGCAAGAATACTGGAGTGGGTTGCCATTTCCTTCTTCAGCGGATCCTCCAGACCTAGGTATCAAATCCTCGTCTCTCGCATCTCCTGCATCGGCAGGTGGGTTCTTTACCACTGAGGCACCGGGAATCATTCATCAACACAGAAGCTGGAATAAATTAATAAACTTAACTCATAATGTTTCTATTACAGTTAAATATGAAAGGATCAAATTCTTGGTGATTGCCTTAAAGAATGCTGTGGAGATATATGCTTGGGCTCCTAAACCATATCATAAGTTCATGGCATTTAAGGTAAGTAGACATGTGATTACCTAACAAGGGCTTGTTTCTTTAGGTTTCCACCAGGTAACAGTGCTCTATCTTACACAGACTTGTACCAGTTTTTCTATATAGAATAATTCTCTTTTAAAAGTGTAGGAACTCTTGTTTGTTCTAAAAGTAAAGACTGGGTATTAGCAAATGTTATTAAATTAATCAAATTAAAATGTGGGTGCACCTTCCTCCTCCATTTCAGATCTATGCACCATCACCTCCAAGTGGCTTTTAATGGGGAATGGTTACCAGGCAAAGCATTCATTGTAATATTAGACAATGAGATTCATTATACCCCCACCTAACTCTGGTATTTCATCTGAAAAAGGCAGACCAACAGCAGCACTGTATCTCAAGTTTGAACTGAGTCTCTTAATCTTATAATCCTCTTAAGCCTTTTTGGTTTAAAGTCCCTAAAACTCACTTGATGGTCATATATCCCCACTGCTATTGGACTTCAGTGAAGTGAATACTGAATAGAGTCACATGTGGAAATGGCCTAGATTCTCTGCATCCTTCAGTTTTCATTGCTTTTTCATTTTTTATCTTGTCTAAGTCTGTACTCACCGTGGTTGGCTTGATCACTTTTGAGAATCAACAGAAGTAGTATGGGGTGATGCTGGTCCCATTGACTCCAGCTCCTGAAAGCTTACCCCCAAATGCCAGAAGGACCAGGACTTACAGACAGTCTGATGTTTTCAGAGATACACAGCCTCCCCATAGCCCGTGTTAATTTATCTTCTGTCCATTCTTTCTCTCTGCCCACGTCTCTCTCTTTACATCTCCTTGGCCCTCACTTTGCTCCCTACCTTTACAACGCTCATCTTTCTTTGACCCTTTACATGTTATTTCTTGCCACCTAAGCCATGTGAGGGCAGAAGCTGCCCTGGGAACATTATGAGCCCCTCTTCAGGGCTGAAGCACCCCAGTTCTGTCTTATTCTCTTAGCAGCACAAGGAGTTCGTTTGTGATGAGCTCAGGAAGGTGGGTTCATCGATGGAAATGGGCACCCCTCCATAACCCCACGTTTATGGGGAAGAATTTTGGGGCTGCATTAGGTTAGTAATAACACCTGGGATGACTCCTGAAAGCTACAGTGGTGCTGCTGTTCTGCCAAAGTCTCTCTTTGCAAAAGCTTTTCAATCAAGACCCGTTCCAGTTCTGAAGTTACTGCCATCAGCATACAAGCCAAAGTGCAGAACTGATGGCAGAATGCTTTGTTCAGCAAACCGTGGGCAGCCTGGAAGGAGGGATGAGCAAAGGCAAGGACTTGAATAGGAAAAGTCTGAAGCTGGCAGGAGGTTGAGCCCTCCTATGGGACAAGGACATTTGGCTCAAAACCTCCCATACGTGAAAATGATGTTAGTAAAAAAGGAAGGAGGAGTCTGTTAAGCGGCCAAGGCACTTGTGGTTTCACAGATTCTCTCCCAGATTTCCAGGCCAGTACAGGTAGAGTGGGGTTGAAATAATGGCAGAGGAAAAAGAGGGGAGACTGAACAGTTACCTGGGGCTTAGACTCCAGAGTCTCACACACAGAACTTTGATAGATGTGGCTGGAACTCTTTTGTTTTTTGTCTAGGTAAACCCAGCTAGCCAATGTAAGCCACAAGTGTTGAGATGTACCACCTCAACCTTCTCTCTCTCTTGGTCAAACCCAAGCCTCAGATCTCCACATTAAGTTTAGAGAAGGTGCCTGTCTGATGGGCACTCACTCACCCAGGACAGTCAGAACCAGAGCAGGCATGATAACTCAGAACAGGCTTATTTAGCGCAGAACTGGCCCCAGCTGCCCGCCTCCCCAGGCTGTCCCTAAACAAGTAGTAGCCATGCATGGGCCTGACTGTCACTCAGAAAGGAAAGGGGCCAGGGAGGTGACCAGACCTTCTTGGGGAAAAGGCCAGATATAAACAGGAAAGAACAGCAGTACCCAGGCACCATATGTTTAATATATGATAACACTGTCAAAATTGACAACTGCAAACCAACTTCTCTTCCCTGGAGGACAGGGGATAGCGCAAGGAGCACAAATGGATGCTAGACTCTTCCTCCTAGAGCCAGAATGTGACTAGCTCTAAAACTGAAAGAAGGATTTCCTAGCTTTTCGATTTAAGAAAAGTCAGACGTGAACTCCCACAGGAAATAGCTAAAGGAAAAATTTATTAACATAATGTCTTTGCATGATGTGGACTCTCACTGGGTGATGTTTAAAGTCTTTTGCAGATCTCCAGCACAAGCCACTGCTTGTTGATCTCACGGTAGAAGAAGGTCAAAGATTAAAGGTTATTTTTGGTTCACACACTGGTTTCCATGTAATTGATGTTGATTCAGGAAACTCTTATGATATCTACATACCATCTCATGTAAGTTCCCAAAAGCAGACTTTCAAGACTCTCTGTTCGACAATCTGCGTGTAGAGATTTGTTTTTGTACATTTGTAGTGAAAGTCATGCTAACTTTTACTAATCAGTAAAGCAGATAGTCTTTTAGCATTCACCAAATAGATTATACTTTTCATACATAAAACATGTAAATTTAACTAATTTTTACAGCTGCTTGAAACTGAGTAACATGTAATAGCAATTATTTGCCATTTACTGGACATGTTGTTTCCTTGGATTTTATATTAAAATACATATGATGTTTTCATTCAAGGGCACAAATTCTATTTTTTAAACCAAGAGTATAATAGATGAGCTTCTATTTTTACTTTGGGAAGGAGATTGGTTCATTTTATGTGGAAGAAGGCCAGTGGTCCCTTTTCTGCTCTTGTTCCTCTCTTCAAGTGGAAGACAATGTCACGTGGTAAAATCAGACACCCCCAAGCACATGCTCTGGCTCTCGCATGTATTCACTTTGCAATAATGGACACATTGGGCAGCCTCTTCAGCCCTCAGCTTTCACATCTGTAAAATGGGCTAAGAGGACCTATCACATAGAGTTATCATCGGCATTAAATGAGGTGATGCATCTAAAGAACACAGCACAGGGTCCTGCAATTTGCAGTATTAATATTACTATCCTGACACATTGCCTAAAACATGACTTTTTAAAGGAAATGCTGCCCGTGGTTTCATGTAGTAGGAGAAGTGCAGTGTAAATTGTGTCTCCCATATGTAATAGTCCAAGGCTAACATACAGTAGAAACTAGTCATCAACAAAGTCTGAGATTCAGTCTGTTGCTGTTTGGTATTTTAAAGAGTTTAAAGACTTTACTCCACAGAAGCACAACAATTGAAAGAAGTTATTTTAGTGCATGGCATACGCACATCATTTGTTACCACATTGCAGCTTTTTCTCATGTGTATGTACATGCACACGGGACTCACAATCTACGCTCTTTTATGAGGGGACCAAGCTATCCCCATGATTGTCCTCCAACCCCTTGGTCATGTCGGCCCTGCACCTACTGGACGGCCATGACATTCTCCACCAGGGGGTCACAGCAATCCCATGTCTGTCTTCATGCAAGTCAGTCTACGCTTATTTGAATAGTATGCTTCTTTTTAATGAATAGTAATTAAAAATTTTTTTTCTCAACAAGCCATTAATTTGGATTATTCTTTTATTTAGTCACCCAGATAAACAATCTGTTTGGAATTTTCATAGCCTATTTTGGTCCCAACTTTTGGCCCCATATAGGCTGTTTCTAGCATATTCAACTGGTTTGCATTTTTCCTCATCTTTTTTAAAAGTAGACAAAAAACATGAGATTTTTTCAATGTTCATGAGAATGTGCTCAAATCCCAATTTTACCACCACATGCTAGGACAGCTTTGGTCAAGTTACATAACCTGTCTGAGATGCAGTCACTTCCCCTGTGGACAGAAATACCTACTGTGTGGAACTTTTCTAAGGCCCAGAAGTTACGTATGTAAAGAGCCCGTGCTTGGCACAGGGCAGGTGCTCCGATGTTGTAGTTGTTGCTCTTAGGAACAGGTAAATTGGATTCTTGACTTCATCCCTAAGTTTGTATTTACCAGGGTATCTGGAAGGTCTGTGGTTAAATTAAGCAAAGCAAAACATCAGTCTCTAGAGTGCAAATGGAAAAGAGAAATGAAAGAACTTTTTTTTTTCAATTCTTAGAAGTTAATAGTTAAGATACTGTCTTATTTTGAAAAAGAATAATGCCTGGCCTTTCTTTGTCTTCTAGATTCAGGGCAATATCACTCCTCATGCCATTGTCATCTTGCCTAAGACAGATGGAATGGAAATGCTTGTTTGCTATGAGGATGAGGGGGTGTATGTAAACACCTACGGCCGGATAACTAAGGATGTGGTGCTCCAATGGGGAGAAATGCCCACGTCTGTGGGTAGGTTAACCATTCCTTATCTCCTTCAGCAGTTACACCCCCCAAATGAAACGAAAGTCAAGAAATGTGAAACAACCATTTGATTCCACAAAAAAAAAAAAAGTCTGTGAATAACACTTGTAAGACTTGCTTTGTCTGTTTATCTCAAGTCGTTTGTCATTTTTGTGGTTAAGATGTGAACAGATGCTGTGAGTTATTGCCCATCTAATGTTTTTAATGCAGTTTTGGAAATTCCTTTTGACAGCCTACATTCATTCCAATCAGATAATGGGCTGGGGCGAGAAAGCTATTGAGATCCGGTCAGTGGAAACAGGACATTTGGATGGAGTATTTATGCATAAGCGAGCTCAAAGGTTAAAGTTTCTATGTGAAAGAAATGATAAGGTAAATCCGTTTCAACATTTGCATTAGTGTTTGCATTTTAAGAGACCACCAGGTACCTGTGAAACCTTCATTTTCCTTTATACTGATTTGAATCACATCTGTGTTAAACAATCAATATTATCTTGAAATGGCATTATTTGGTTTGACTCATGTGAACCCTCAAAATATACTATTCACACATCAAAAAAAGACATGAAAACATCTAAAAATTTCTTGTAAACTCTTAGTAACTCATGTGGCCTGCAGGCCTTAAGATGACTCAGCAAATACCCTAAATTCTCCTAAGCACTTAGAAGAGTTGGCCCATCATTAATCATTTCACAGAGGGTCAACCTTATACTCCACTTTTAGACTTTTCACAGAATCACTATTGGGGCATAACCCATCACATTATATTCAACGTTAAATGTAAAACATGTGACATGTAGAAATATAAAGTTTTTGAGAAGTGTCCCCCATTCCTTAAGGAATGCACAATCACAAACTCAACTAGTGCCATGTTCTGTGTCATTCCAGCCATGTTTCTTCTGAAGTATCATAGGGGGACTGTTTTCCAGTGAAATTGGCGGTGTTCGTCTGGCATGAACAGTCGCCCAGAAGGGTATTCTTCCCCCTTGCCCTCCCTGTAGACTCACCCAGAGTTCTCACTAGCTAAGCTATACTGTATTTGTGAATTCATCCTTTGTGACTATGGTCAATTTAGAAATGCTGTCCCCCAAATCAGCCAACGTAAACATTTATAGAAAAGACTGTGATGGGTTGAACAGACCTACGTCTCTTGGCTCTCTCCCATTCCCTGGAAGCCGGGCTGGTCTTAGTATGATTCTGGAGCTGCCAATTAATCTGACGCGGTGTGGTCTGGGTGGACAACAGCTGGAGGTTGCAAGAATGGTTTCCAGGGCCTCATCAGAATATGCCAGAAAACAGACCTGACCCCAAGTGAAATTCCAGCCCCCACCTAGTCTCTGGGGATCATAAGGCCAGGACTGATCTAGGCACGGACCCCCAAACTCTAGTGCATTGAGGACCCTTAGAAGCCTTATTGCAAGCCCTGTCCACACCCTCAGGAAGAGGCTGAGACCACACCAGTGTCAGGGCCCTGAGGTTTAGAGCCAGGGCAGACAGAACCTGGAGAGCAGCAGCCCCTTCCTCCCCTGGTTGTGTTTCCACAGGCCCTCTGTGCTTCCCCATTGTGACCCACTGACCCCACAGTAGCTTTACTAATAGATGTAGCATTAGCTGAATGATGCCCATTTCCACAGAGCTTCCTAAGAAGTTGTTGGGAGAGACAGCAATGTTCTTCTAAAGAAGTTGTGGAAATGAAGTAGCAGAGACTTTACACTAGTGACAAAGTAAATGCCTTGGACCAAAGTGTGGTGTCGGCTGATTCTTAAAGGACTCGGCCAAAGCACGTAATATTCTTTTCCTAGGCAGCGGTTCATGGATATTCGGCTCAGGCAAGCAGTACCCCAAATCTTGCTCCCTTCTCTGAGTTGTTTGATAAAATGATTTAGCAGACCCAGACCTAATGGACTGTGGTTCTCCTTATGAATGCCATGATCTCCTTCAGCCTAGGATATGCCTTCATCATCACATCAGCAGAGAAGCCAAGTGTTAACTCTTGAAATGCCAAAGTGAATAGGCACTAAACACCTTATCCTATCTGACTAGAGCCACTTGTTTTTGTTTTTATTTTAAAAATTGAAAAGTGAGGCTGTGTAGTAATCAGTAGGCCCCAAATTCCCTCTTGACTTTCATTCCCAAAGTCTGCCCTCTTGTCAATAGGGGAGAGGTGAGGGGAGCCCCTGTGACTTTCCAGAAATTAACAAAGGACCTGTTGTGTTCTTGACCAGAAAGCCAGCATATCATCCTAGCAAGAAACTTCCTTATAAAAAGTGAGCACCCAAAGAGTTGTTGCAAATCAAGAGGTAGTCCCTTCTGGGTCCCTGAAGGCCAATACCATGATAAGTAATAGTAACCTTATAGGAATAAAGGCAGAAATGCCTACAGAGGATACAGTGTGTTAAAAGATGCCTTAAAAACACCAGCCATTGAGTCTTAACAGCTGACACATGGCAAGGATAGGACATGTGAGAGAAAAATGGATGGACGGTTGAAGAAAAGAGGGAGAGAAACCATGCAGTTGAACTAACTTCTTTTTAATTTCAAACAGGTATTTTTTGCATCCGTGCGATCTGGAGGAAGTAGCCAAGTGTTTTTCATGACCCTCAACAGAAATTCCATGATGAACTGGTAACAGAAGAGCACTTGGCACTTATCTTCATGGCGTTATTTCTAATTTAAAAGAACATAACTCATGTGGACTTATTGCCAGTCTAGAGGCAGAATCAGAAGGCTTGGTTGAACATACTGCTTTCCCCTTTTCCTCTCCCTCCACCCATCCCGATACAGTCCATCTTTCAATGTTGCAGCCTGGTTGAGAAGGAGAGAAAAAGGTGGCAGGAATTTCCAGGAGATCCCCAAGAATGCTGCGTTGTCTATGGACAGAGATGGACCATGTGCCCTTCGGAGTTAGGGATAGAAACAAATATTGTGTGCTCTTATGATTAAGCTGTGTTATGGTGGATTTTTGAGTTTTGTTTTTTACCTTTTTTTTTTTCTTTACCCCCTTACTTTGTAAGAATGGGGAGAGAATGCATACTGAGAAAGTGTCTGTTTTTAATTCTGTCTGCCTGCTAGCTTTAAGTAAATGATATGTTGTTAAGATCTCCAACTTCAAATGGTGAGAGACAGCACAATAAATGTACCTTATCTCTTTACACTGAAGGCCATAACTACACAGTGGGGTAATTTTAGAACTCTTTTACCTTCACCAACCCAAGAGGTTGCTTTTTGATAGCAACTGCTAATGAATTTTTAAAAGAGAAGAAAAATACTAGTATTCCCCTCTTTTGGGAAATAGATTTTAAATGGCTAAACTACTAGCCTTAGACTAATAAAATCAACTACCATTTTTGTGAGTCTGGCAGGCCCTATTTTATAGGGCCCTGTACAGAACAGAGTGTGTTGCATGGGATAGTAGTGCCATTGAGTTAAGTTGGCTGCAGTGAACGAGGGACTCTATATACAACGTTGCCTCAATGCTTACTGCAACAGATCAGGGCAAAAGATGGGATGACAGAGGGGGTCAGATGGAAAGAGCTTCTGGAAACAAGCTAAAAATGTATATATATATATACACACACACACATTTTTTTTTTTCAAATGCACAAAACTTCCCAGCTAGGAAGTCACTCTGTTTGGGCTTCGTTAGGAGTTAAGACCTTGTTCTTTCTGGGAATTGGAGAATCGGTGACATCCAGGCTCTAGTTACTCCCAGCTTCCTCCTGAGGGTGCCACTATCTCAAGATGAAAACTGTGACTGAAATAATAATAATAATAATAATAAATGTTTCTGAGCTGCCTGTGTTCTCTCTGGGTTGGTGAGAGAAGGGACTAGACTACTAAGCCTGCCTGGGATCCAGCAGGCATCATTGGTTCAGATTTTATAGAACTTGAAAGCAAGGCTTTGGCCGAAATTCTGAGACCCTAATCATTTTACCTTCCTCCAAATTACCCAACATCTGGTAAACAACGTTTGTGCAGAGATATGTATGTATTTCGTTCAGGTTGACTTGTGTCCTTATAAACTCTTCCGCGGATGATTTGAACTTTTGCGTGACTGTCTGGGGTTTTTTTTTTCCCAAAGCTCCGAGCATGGCTGCCTGTGGTATCAAGGTGTTGCAAAACAGTATCTGTGTTGCGCTTCCTGTTTTAACCTACCTCGTTTCGTTTGTTTCGTTTCACTGTTCATCACAGCAGTGTTATCTCCAGGAGACATATAGAGAGCTCAACTGGCAATCTCAGCTGTCTTTCACATTCTTAAAACAGTAGTTGACCAAATTGTTCTTGAAAAATTGAAAAAAAAAAAAAATCCAACAGCAACAAAACTAACATGGCTTGTTTCTGGAGAAAACAATTACTATAAACAGATCCAAAACCAAAAACATCTATGAGCCTACTGATTTTGCCTAAATACATGAGCAGCTGATGTACTATTAATGAGAACGAAATACACATTAGGAAAACAGCACCATTTCAATCTGGTGGCCTGGGCAAGGGGGGGACACGGAAGGGGAAATACTCTAATTTTTGAAGTGGCTGATTCTGCCCCTCCTGTAAAGGTGGTTGTCATTTGCATTTATTTTAAGCAGGTAACACACAAATGGAATTGAGGATTATCTTCAGGCGATCACCAAGATGTCCTCATTGTGGTCCCTTTAGCGCTCAAAAGCAATGAAATCCTCCCGTTCTCATTTTTACTGCTAAGGTTCTGCTGCTGAGCAAATTCCATGCCACAAATTCAGCAATAACGTTTGAGATTGAATAGCAACTACTGTAATTGGATGCTGACATGGACAAGACACATTGATTTGGGTCTCATCCCCGCATGTGATTGCCACCAGCTCTTTATATTGCTGCTGTGGTATTTTGAACAAGAAGCTTCTTTAAATTATGTTGCAAACTGATCTTTGTTTTATGTTTTGTTTCGTTTTGATTTCTAAGTGATAAGTTCGAAACACACAGCTTTAACTGATTTTTTTATTGTGGGATTTGGGGTACAGTAAAGAAATAAAAGGGAATCATTGTGTTTAAACATAAGGTAGTTTGTGAATGTATTTTTTAAAATCTAGATTCATTGAAACAAAAAAATCGTAAGAAAACAATATTAATGCAGTCTTGTTTACAGTCTGTACAGTGACATAACATAGAACATGAGCTTTTCTGGTGCCAAGAAAAATAAAACACAGACGTTAACCATCAAGCCACGCTTTTTATATTTTTGTACAAATATTTTACACAGAGTACAAGGCAAAACCAAATTTAAAACGGCCCCCCACAAATCTGTGCTCCTTAAAAGATTTCTAAAGAATTCCTTGAAGCTTCTATCTCCAAAAATACATTTTCCTCCATAAGGACAGGCCCTAGCCCTGAAATACTGGAGGCCTAGGTCATGCAGAATATTTCAGAATAACTGTTCTTGTGGCTCATAACAACTACCAACATTTCAGTTTGCTTTCTTTTTTTTTTTTGGCAGAAACAAGGGGGTGGTTGTACTTTTCATCCCTGTTAATATCATCTTAAAAATAAAATGAGCCAGTTTTAGAGATAAAATCCCCTGTAAGAAACACTAAAACTGAAACTAGATTCAAAGCTTAAAAAGTTTTTATTAAGATTTGTATGCAAAGAGAAATGGAACCCTCCCTCCCCCAAAATTTCACTAGGTCATTTCATTCCCTGCTACTCAGTATTGATGATCATGCAGTAAAATCCACTGTGGCTGCTTACATCACCATTGTGGGCCAGCGTCTGTCAGGTGATTGTCATTGCTGGGTGCTAGTCTGGGACGTGAGCGAGGATTCCTTCATGCAGGGCGTGGTGGGAGCAGATGACCTACAAGATCCTTTAAGATGGGGAGAGTTCTCCCCATGCCAGTTACATTCAGATCGTTGTCCTGCACACAAGATAAGGGAAGATATCTTGCACTAAGTGCCACACAAAATCTTAACGACTATTTAGATAGAGCTCATTTTTCTTGAAGACTTTCTCACAGAGCCTCAAGAAGACCAAGAGCTATTTCAACAGTGTAGATTAAGGTACAGATGACATCCCACGAGGCCACTCAAACAGGTACTCCATTTTTCTCACACTTTAACATTGCTTTCTAAGACATACTTCTTACATACATCACATCAAGTACACCTTTTTTAAAAGCCTCTTCATTCCTGGTTGTCAAGACCTACTAACAGTTTTCTGTCTGCTTTTGTGACTTATTGGTAAGTGGTGTCTCTGGTCCCTCCTCTGCAGTAGATTAGAAAGATGTGAAAAATTCAGGCCGGAGCCATTTGGGTTTTGTCCATTGCCCAGACAAGGAAGCAGCTGAAGTCTAACCTCACATTCCATAAGCTAAAAAAAAAAAAAAAATGTTTTCCCTACTAGTATGTGTCCTAGTTCCCGTCACTGTATTCTTGAAATGTTGAAGAGCTCTTTGTGTTAACAATGTGTGTTGTCTTTGAAAGTCTGCTTGAACAGGCATCACCTTCATTCATGCTGATTGCTTTAAGATGCAAGATGTGCCACATTACTTTAAGAAAGAGCATGCAGTTATTGGTCAAAATGTTAAACTTCTGGAGGAAAATAGGAGGATATCTGCAACATGCTGATGGCAATTCTGAATGACTCTGCCATGCTCCCACGATTCTCTGTTCTAACCGTCTCAACAGTTTCTGTGAATTATTAGTCACTTTTTCGTTCATTCCTCTTAACCTTAAATCTAAACAAATCAAAAAAATAACAAACAAACCCAAAACTGACCTACCTGAGACTATATAGTTACAACATAAAATCCAGAAATCTAAATTTGATTTTATTTACCTGTTAATATTTCTCATAAATACCATTACATTTTGGCCTTGATCAGGATTGCAATATCAAAAATCTTAAAATGTTCTGTCCTTGATGAGTCTCAAAATGGATATAACCTGATCTTCTTTCAGAAGCCCCAGCAAAAAAGAAAACCTCTTGAGAATTTGCAAGTTCAAAACTGACCATTGAGGGACTTCCCTGGTGGTCTAGTGGTTGAGACTGCGCTTCCACTGCAGGGGGTACAGGTTCGATCTCTGGTCAGGGAACAAAGATCCCTTACCCTACATGGCACAGCTGAAAAGAAACTGATCATTTACACATGTCCACCAAACATTTTCTAGTATTTTTTTATTTCCAAACTGTATCACTGGAATTTGGGAGATTTTTTCCATAGATACTTAGGATATTCAAAAATGTGCATAATATTAAATAGTATGAGACCATAACTCTGCTTTGAAAATTATTCTAAGGCTGTCATTCCAGAAAATGCCAGAATGCACCAAAATAAAAATCTTCATAAAAGCATTTTTAAAACAAAAATCTCTGAATAAGTTTTGAGATATTCTAAATTCACATCAAAATCTTGGACTCTGTGTCCATGATACCAAACATTTGGAGGAAGACTAGAAAATAGAAATGTCCTAAAGTTTCCAGATTTTTTGGGTTTGTATAGATATCTTCAAACAAACTCAGTTCCTTGCGTGATAGAGTTTGGTTTTGATAGTTGGTTTTTATCATGCCAAATTGCACTGCACATATGGGGCTGGAGGAAAGGTAAGTTTTCATTTCTAGCAATGGATCATTGCTCGTCCGTAGCAAACATCCATGCCCCAGTTGTCTCTTCCTCGTATTTCTCCCTCGGGTTAGTGTTAAGGAATAGTAATTTTGTATTACGGTTTATTTAAAAACCTCAGACATCACCCTGAATCAGAATTTCAAATGTTAGGTGACAGCAAAAAATAAATCTGTAGCAGCGGGAAAAAAAAGGATGACAGCTTAGATGAAGTTTCAAATTGGATGTTGTGAAACTGTTTTTGTGCATTTAGCTGTCTTTTTTTTTTTTTTACAATGTTAACATAACTGTAGAAATGCCAAATTTATACTATTGGAAGGGGAAACTATCATTTTGCTATGCCTAAGAGTGTTTATGCTGTTTAAATCTCCAGTTTTCCAAAGTGTTTTAAATTGTCAAAAATATGCTGAAACTGGATCATTCTCACCTGTGTGGGGGTATAAAGAAAGAAAATCTTGGCATATTTTCTAGTCTGAACCTTTTGGTTACTTTCAAGTATACTTTCCCCTGCATTTACAAAGCCTTCAGTTACTGTTGTCTAAGGTTGTTCTAAGCAGTAGTTAGAAATGATTTGGTAGGTTCTAAGCCTACCTTTCCTTGACTGTGACTGCCACACCCTGGAATATACTATTTTATGTTATCTCTATCAAAATGTGAATAAAAAAATATTGATAGTAGTAGGACGCCTACTTGTTCTTCATTACCATTCCCAAACTATTATCCCTTCTTCCTCCCGAACACTGGAATGCTTTGAAGCTCTTGCCGTTAGCCTCTGAAATCTCCAGTTACCTTCAGCCACTCCCCCTCGGTGTTTCAGTATCTTGGCTCTTAGCCCCTTCTCACCGTCTCTAACACCACCCTCGATTAGTCTTGTGATTTCAGTAACCACTTAGACAACCCTCTAAATACCCTGGCTTCTCAGTTTCCTGATCTTGATCAGTTAAACTTAACGATTACCAATTACCTTACCACCTCCTAAGCTGGTAGCAGTCAATTCTCATTTGCTCTGGGTGGACCATCATCACCAAATAAAGGTCACCACCCCCAAAGTCCCCCCACCCCCGGTTCTGCATCACCAGCTTTACCCATTCTATTGGAGAGTTTCACTACGTTCATGCTGCAATCTCTTGTGTTATAAACACCCTCAGCCCCATTATCCTTCTTAATTGCCATCTTATCTTCTCCCCTTCACACACAAGAAAACCTCAGATCAGGCTTTTATCCCCACCACAAGCAGCTCTTGCTGAGGGCACCAGTTACATTCATGATGCAGAAGCCAGGTCTCTAACTTCATGCTTCTTGATTTACCTTCAGTCTTTAACACAGGCTTAACAGTCCTTCCTCCTTGAAGAAGTTTCTTGGATTGGGGGCACCCCTCATGCTCTTTCACCCCTCTGGCCATTCCTTCTGGGTCTCCTTTGCTGAATTCCTAGAGTGCCCAGCACTGGATATCCTCTCTCTTAAGTGATCCCTTCCAGTCTTGGGGCTTGAAAAACCAACTATATAGAGACAATACTCGTATTTTTATTGCCAGCTCTAACCTCTTTTCTGAAAACCAGATTTATACATCTATTTACTTGACATTTTCATTGGATGTGCAATTGACATCTCAAATTCAACATGTTTAAAACCAAACTGATTTGCACCCCACCTACCAATCTACTCCCATTACAGTATTCAGTTTAGTTCAGTCGCTCAGTTGTGTCCAACTCTTATGTGACGCCGTGGACTGCAGCACACCAGGCTTCCCTGTCCATCACCAACTCCCGGAGTTTACTCAAACTCATGTCCATCAAGTCGGTGATGCCATCCAACCATCTCATCCTGTCATCCCCTTCTTCTCCCGCCTTCAATCTTCCCCAGCATTACAGTATTCTCTGTCCGTAAATGGCAATTTTGCTCCTCCAGACCAGAAAATATTCTAGTTTGCCTTTTTTTGGCTGTGCTGGGTCTTTGCTGCTGCCCAAGGGCTTCCTCCAGTTGAGGCAAGTGGGAGCTACTTTCTACACTAAGGTGACGTCTCTCGTTGTGGAGGATGGGCTCTAGGTATGCCAGTTCCAACACTCGGGCTCAGTAGTTGGGCACACAGGCTTAGTTGCTCCATGACATGTGGGATCTTTCCAGACCAGGAATAGAACCTGTGTGCCCTGCATTGGCAGGCAGATTCTTAACCATTAGACCACCAGGGAAGTCCAAGATGACACTTTTAAAACATCCACTATTATACAGGTTATGCCACTTTTCTGCTCAAGTGCTCAGGGTCTTCCCATCTTAGAACATCAGTGTCCTTACCGTGGTCTATAAGGCCCTCATAAATCTGACCCACACTTTGCTCCATCCCCAACCACCACCACCACTTCTCTGACTTCATCTACCTTTTCCCTAGTTCACTTGCTCAGCCACACTGCCCTCCTTGCTTTACCCAGGAAACACTCAAAGCATGTGCCTTTCTCGAGGTCTTTGCTCTGGCTGTCTCCTCTGTCTAGAAAGCCCTCCATTCATATATCTGTACAATGTGCTCAGCCCTCCCTTTGGGTCTCTGCACAAATATTCCTATCCTATCAGAAACCTATATATGATAATTCCCAATTCCCCATTTAGTCTCTGCTTTATTGCCTTTCATAGAGCTTAGCAACATCTAATTTGCTCACTGGCCTATCTCCAATACTTAACAAGAATGCCTGGCAAATAGTGATCAGTAAGTATTTAATGGATGAAAAAATGAATGAAAATAAATAATAACAGTTTTGGAATTCTATTAAGGTATATAAGACCATTTTCATCTCAATATCAAAACAAAATGCTGTGTCCAAATTCTATATTATAAAAGCATAGGTCTGCTTTCATGTAGAAAATGAAACACTCAATGGATTTTCTTTCCTGGGAGGCTACTGTGGATGGAAAGCACCTGGCTAATAATCATGGGTGTACTTTTTGGCTCCATGAATCATCTTAACAGGTCAAGGGTTGAAGCCCTGCAGGGCTGGAAGAGAGCTTGCCACATAGAACCTTGAGAAAATTAGTATTTCGTGATTCTTCCCTTTATACAGATAATGATCCATTTTAAGCTACTGGCCTTGGAGTAAGTGCAGAGCTGCTAGAAGTGGGAAGAGGATTCTGAATTTTGTTTTTTGGTCTAAATGTTTAAACATGATAACAATTCTTTTTTTTTTTTTTAACAAGAAATAAA